CGGTAACGGCGTGTAACGGCGTGAGAGAGCGGGCGAGATAGGGCGTTAATGACCGCTCGAAAAAGAACAATGCTACTCGCGGGGCCCGGTGGGCCGGCGGTGGGCCGGCGGGCCGGTGTGCGTTGCGGAGGGGAGCGTTGACCTCCTCCACTCGTCTCCACTCCTCCACTCCCGCACTGAGACTGAGATTCATTATTCATTTGCGGAGCGCAGAGCAACCCGAGCCTCGCGCTGACCAACGCCACGGCACGCCACGGCGCGGCACGGCAAGCCACGGCCCAGACGAGTCCGGAGAGCCAACCGGCGGCGTCATGACCGAAGGACCGAAGGCCAAAAGCCGACTCCCCCGCAGGCCGCACGTCAGTTCCCACCGTTCTAACAAGCTCTGCCGGCTCTGCCTGCCGCGCGGCGACGCGCCGGTCGTTTTAAAAGGCCCCGTAATTAGAATGCGCGCATTCGAAGCGTCGTCATTACACTAGGGCGATCTCTGCCCAGGATAAAGGCCAATTTCGAGGCCAATTTTGACAATGCGCCTCTTCTGCTTCTTCTCCGTTCTCTGCTTCTCGATTCAGCGAATCGCTTTGCTGGAGTATTACCGTATTTACCTGTGCGGGCCATAAACATGCCAATCTTCGCCTAGCCGCCTCGCAGTTAGCAGAGTGGGGTTGACACTTGTGTCATAATGGAGCTTCTGCGAGGCCCGGTAGGGTGCGCTGTGTGCGCTGCCACCGGATCGCCGCCACTGCCGCCCGCTGCCCGTTTATTGTGCAACACGGGTGGGAAACGGAAAAGACAGGTGGGAGTCGTCGTGTCGTGCACTTTCTTCAGAAAAGACGCGATGGCTCACTACACCGTAAAGCTGTCCGACGTGGACTCGCCCCTCCCCCCTTCCCCCTCCTCATTCGGCACCTGGCACCTCGCGGCCGGGAAAAGGTGTTTATGACCACAATGTGACCGTAAAGAGGACCGTTCCACCAAAAGTTGCCTCGTTGCAACACCCTCATTTATGCTTTCACACTTTTTCCCCCAGAAACATTTTGAAAAAAAAAAAAAAACGTCTGACACTAAAAGTGTTGACGACATAATCTCTTAGCTTGGCCTCCTCGGCGCACTCTCGATTCTCTCGATACTCTCGATCCTACACTGGGGATAATGGAAACTGAATCCGATCTAGAGAGCAATCACAGAGAAGGGGACGGAACCATTCACCGTCGCGACCCTCGACACTCCACCGCTATCACGCGGTAAAAAGCCACGCAGCCACTCACGGCTCGACCGACCCGGTCCGGGCGGAGAAAGAGAGACAGACAGAGAGGGAGAGAGACAGAAACGCACCCGGACGGATATTCTAGAAGCTTGTTCGTGACGAGACACCAGGAGGACGAGGACGAGGACGTTGGACGTGAGCCGGGCGTTCTCAAAACCTTGTCAGTGCATCGCGGTGCGTCGTGGGCCGTGCTCGCGTCCTGGCGCTGCCTGGCGCCCCCAGCAGTCCGTCTCTCTCGCACTCGTGGGGCGTTCCTTGGCGTTCCATGTCGGTGCGAGAGAGACAGAGTCCTTTCAGACGGAGCAACGCATTTCTCCTCGTAAAGGCCATCGCCTTATCGGTCGTATTCGGCTTGTCGTGGCGCCTCCAGGAATGTGTGGCACACTGTGTGGCACGGGGCCTCCAGGTCGTCGCGGCGTGACGAGGCGTGTCAGCAGGCCAGGGCCATTTTACCCTTCCCGCCGCGGCACGGGATCGAACCGGCGACCGCCGGCGACGCTTTTCCTCGGGCTGGGGCGCCGCGCTGCAGGGTTCCTGCTGCTGCTGCCGCGCTTCGATTCGCACCGCAGTTCGAATTTCGAGCCGTCCGGGACTGTCCGAGACACTCGAGCGGCGCAGAGCTACGCAGAGCTACGCAGAGCTGGCCGAGCAAGCTGCACCAGGCCAGGGCCGCCTAGGGCCGCCACCGCGCCTGACCTAATTCCTAGCACCAAGCGTCCCGTCGGAGGACCTAGGAACCCGCGCGTCCAGCAGGACGAGTGGGAGTCGAGTGGAGGCCTTGGTCTAGGCTCCACCATGCCCTAGCGCCGCGGGGCCCCGCCACGCCCCGCCACGCCCCGCGCAGCCAATCGGATGCGCGTATTTCCACCGCGACCTGTTCACAACGCCTCGCCGTCTCGCCCATAGATCCCCGGGACGCGTTCGAGACTCCTTGACGGGCAGCCCCGCCCGGCGCGGCCAGCGTCACCTGCGCCAGGGCGCGTCCTCCTCGGTGCGAACGCAACCCTCGCGCACTACTTCTTGTAGGCTCTTGAGGCACGTCCGCGTCGAGGCTCGCCGTGCGTCACGAACGCTGTCACGGGTGTCGTCACGGACATCGGCCTGGACGGCTGCTTTTGTCCGGCGAGTCGAGCAGTCCCTCGTCGAGAAGGGCGAGGAGGACGACACGCCGTCGGCGCGCTGCCATGCTGCCATTCGACGTTTATGACGAGTCCCGCTAAGCAACGCAGCGACTGCCCGGCCCGGCCCGGCCCGGCCCCCCTTTTGGTGGGAACAAGGGAATCCAGAATCCAGGGCAAGGTCCACGGGTCCTTCTCCCTCACCGTCCACCGTTCTGCCGGAGCGGCGTGCCCCGCGCCCCGCCGCGTCGCGCAAAGTGCACAGAGGCTCGCTGTCTCGCAGGCCTACCGAGAAATAGCGGTTTTTCGGCAGGTCTGCAGCACGGCCAGCACGGCCAGCACGGCCGCTGTGCCTGTGGCGTGGCCAAGCAGGCCGTGAGGGCCATGCCTGGCCATGCCAGCCTCCCCCTCCCCCTGCCCCACCTGGGGGCACGGCCACGGCCGCCTCGGCCAGCACAGCCCAGCACAGCCCAGCACAGCCCAGCACAGCCCCGCCACGGCCGTGCCGTGATGGGCGGCTGCAGCGGCTGCCGAGACGTGCACTGCTGCCACCTGCAATAAAACAAAACTCGACAAGACCCTTGCCGCCTTCAAGCAGGCATGGACGCTGGCCGGTCCGGCCCCGCTGCCCCGCCACCGCCTCGAGGCGATGCATAGCCGTGCCGTGGCCGTGGCGTGGCCGGGGCGTGGCGTGCGTTCTGAGCGGTCTGCACGGCGGCGTGCCGGGCCGGCCGCCGCCACCGACTGCTGCTGCTGAGAAGCTTTTTCGGGAATTCGCAAAGCCACTTGTTGCTCTGTTTTCCTTTCGTCTGGGTCGTCGTCGCCGTGCACGTCGCTGTGGTCCCGGGGCGTGCCTCGGGCGTGCCTCTGGGCTCGTTCCCACAGTTACATCCACCCCCTCCCTCCCCACCCCGGCCTAACAATGCACCCCCGAGGAACACATCTGGGTTGTGGCTGCTGCACTGGACACGCTGGACGCTGGAAGTCGAGTCGACCGAAAAAGGCGAAAAACGGCAGCCCTTGCGTTGCGAGCATCCGCTTGTCCTTTCACTGTTACCAAGGCATAAAACGTCATGCTCCATTCAAACACCACTTTCTTCTCTTCTCGAAAGTGTCCCGCGTCCCCGTGCCCGCCGATGACAAGGCGCCTCTGCAATCAGGAAATTCCAGGCTTACGGAGCGCCTGCTCTATCGGGGCCCTTGATCGCGCGGGAGGCAACGAGATTCAGGGATTCGAGATCGGAACGCTTTGCTGCAGGCCGCGTGGTCGCGTCACCGCGTCTTCCGGGGACGAGAAGGGCCGTCCGCCTGTCACTCGTCCGTCAACTCGCTCTGCCTGCCCAGCCTGCCCAGCCTGCCCTCCTCGGCCGCCTGATTCCCTCCGAACAGCGCTCTGTCGCTGGGGACGCACGAGTGCGACAGAGGCAGAGCGCTGTGTAGAGTGTTGGTTGGGGATTTCGGAATCGGCCTGCTGCTCGCTCTGCCTGCTCTGCCCGGTCGTCTCTTCATCGGGCTGCCTCGCTGCCTCCCATCCCCATTACACACCGTGACTCTGACTCTAAGCTCGGCCGGCCCGCTTCCTGCGTGGGCGGGGTGGGGCGGGGCGGGGCGGGGCGGCTGCAGTGTAGGGCCCAACGCTCGGCGAGGAAGCGGAGCGCGGAGCCCCACCACAGCGTGCCATTCATGCCGACAGCCGAAGGGCTGCGCTGTCGTCGTTCTGTCTCTCTCGCACTCGTGGCGCGTCCCTCCGGGGTGGAGAGAGCCGCTGTCGTCCTTGGTCCTTGTTTATCTGGCACTCTTGGAACGCCCCGCAGGGCCCCGTAGGGGTGCGATGGAGACAGAGCGACTGAGCACCGTTCGGAACGAGACTCGATACATATTGGCCGGGGAGGGCATCGTCGTCGACATCAGCAGCAGCGGGCTCTTTTTAATTTCCCTCTTCTGCGGGGAAAAGGTAATAAGACTTATCTCTGATCTAATCCGACGAACTTGGCAAGGCGGGCGTAGCGAGCGTGCCGCAGTAGAGCAAAGGCGGGGCGGCGGGCGGGCGTGGGAGCGATAATGCGTTTGGCAGCGTCTGATAATGATTAAGCTGGTCGCAAATTAGCAACCTCATCTCATTGCCGCTGATCGGGCCAGGCCGGCCAGGCCTCATTTCCCCCAACTTGGCCTCGGTTCAAAATGCCTTCCCTCCCGTCCCGTCGCGTCCCGTCCTCCCCGCGCACACCCACACCCACACGCTCTCCGCGGAGAGGCCGACGGGACGGGCGGGCCGGGCCGGGCCGGGGTGCGGGAGAGTGGGCGCGACACCATCAGGCCGTCCACGGCCCCGTCCACGTCCGCGAGGACTCATGTGCCAAAACTTGACCGGGCTGCAACGGGCAGCGTACGCAGCGTGGAGTCCACGCCTTGGACACCCGGCCTAGCGGGCACCCTGGCGTTTTCCCTGACACTTCCCAGATGAGGTTTGTTGACACTGGTAGGTTAGGTTCCTTATTAGTTGCGTTATCCGCCTATTTATCGTTTGGAATGAATTATGAAATAACTTGACACCAGATTAATTTTGTCTCTCCAGGCAAGAGCCGGCGAGACAACTCGCAACCCCCCACACTCACCTCTTCCATATCCTTGGGTGTGCTTCGCGAAGCTGTTGACGACGGCGTCCACGGCCTCCTTGAGCACCTGCTTGGCGCGGGCATCGCGGGCGTCGCGGGCGTCGCGGGCGTCGGTGATCACCGTGGCCGCGGGCGGGCACTGGGTGCGCTGGGCGGGCAGGGGCGGGGGCGGCGCCGGCGCGGCCTTCGTTTTGGGCTGCATCGGGACGGGCGGCGTGCGGGCGACCCGTCCGCGGTCGTAGTCCGTGGCGGCCTGCCTCTGGGCCTGCCTCTAGGCCTGGCCGGCAGTCCTGGCAGGGTCGGCGGCGGCGCAGTCAGCCCATGCGGCTGCTGCACTTGCTGCAATGTCTACACTTGCACCGGCCCGCTGCGACACGGCACAGCGGCACGGACAGGGGGCGTGGAGCTGGACGGCGTCCTAGAGGGCGTCCTGGAGACGGCGGGCTGCGGCTTGCGGCTGCCCCTGGAGCTCCTGGAGCCTGGAGGTGTCACTAGGTACCACTAGGTACCACTGGGTGCCTCCGCCCACTAGCGGGACGGACACTGCGGCACTGTCACTCACATCACGCGCACGCGTCACGGACGTGACCACACGGCACGGCACTGCACTGCACTGGGGCTGCCCCCATCGGGGCGCTCGGGGCGCGGTATCGCAGGGCGGGGCGCGACGAGCGCGTGGTGCTGGCGGAGGGTGCGCGAGACGAGGCACCACGACGACGGCGGTGACGGGATGGAGCGGCGCGCCGCGGCTCTGAGGGGCTCCGTGTGCACGCACCGAGCGCGGAGCAGACAATGAACAGAACAAGTAACCACCGGCCTGGGCCGGGGCCTGCTGGGAGGAGCGGCGGCGGCGCGGCGGCAGCGGGCAGCGGCGGGGCGCGGGGAGGGCGTGCGGTGGGGGAGGGGGGAGGCGGTGGGGGCAGGGCACAAGCCTGTCCGGTCCACTCCACTTCACTCCATGAGACCAAGACCAAGACCCACGGCACGGCAAGCAAGCCGGCCGGTGTGCTTGGTGTGCTGCGCCCCGCGTCCGGCTCCCCCCCCCCCATTTTCTTGGGGGCCCCTTCGGTTCGGGTCCCCTTTGGGGCTTCGGGTGGACTCGGCCCCGCAAGACGGCGGCCTAACTACCGGGCGCATCCATGGCGGCAACGGGAACGTCGGGCAGGGGCGTGGTGGGCGTGGCGGCGGCGGGGGCCCAGGCCCGGCAGCATCGGCAGCAGAGCGGTAGGCCCTAGGCCGGGCGGGACCCCGCCCCCTCCCCCGTCCCGGTACGCACTGTGGTACTACCCATGTAGGCCAGGCCAGGCCGCGCTGGCCGTGCACAATCTCCCACTTCCACCCACAGTTCGGGAACCTGTTGAGTCCACAAACGAATCCACACAAAGATGTGACGAGGGGTGGGGTGGGCGGAAGTAGGGGTACTTGGCAGTACTTGCCGGGCCTACAGTAGAGCTGCGGTGCCTCCGTGGGTGCGTCAAAACTGCTAAGTCCTTTAAAAAAGGCTTTCTCATTTCTCCACTTCTTCTATGTATCTGCTATACATTGTAGACTGTAATCTGAATAGTTTTTGGTCTCTGGAGTTTGAAATAAGGGTGCAATGAAACAAGAAAGTGCTATCCAATTTTCTTTATTACACATTTACAAACATTTGGCAGGTTATAAGACTTCAAAATTTGGAGGTCAGCAGCATGGTAACAACCGCAATACTGTCAGTGAGATCCAAGATAGGTGAACATACAATCAGGGATAAATTAAAGACATAAAATTTGAAAGTAAAAATTATAAAAGAGGGAACATGTTAACAGGTACCTTAAATTAAACATAAACTATAACAGGCAGCGATCTGTGATCAAGAAAATAATTAACACTAAAACAGTAACAATACACAACAACATCATTACGCTGCTCAGTCGGCCTTTCCCCCTCAATAATGGCAGTGAGTTCAGTTAGCCACAAAAACAAAAAAAAAGTAGGAAGTGCAACTAACATGTACACAACAAAATGATTGTTAACTTGCATTGTAGGACTTTGGAACAAATCATAATTTAATGCAAAAAAAGAAAGATGTAAAAACAGACATCAATACAGAAATTGTGGTCACAGGCTGTTTTAGATGTAGAAAGATAAATACCATGATTACATTTACCATGAAAACAAGAGAAAAGAAAAAGCAACAATATAAAAAGAAATTGTGGGAAGTACAGGAAAACATAAAGTAACCCTGATACAACTAGTTAAACTTTGGAACCAGACATTCTGATCATCTGTGTTTCTTTCCTTTTTCTTTCTGGTTTAGTTAGGTGTCAACATACTTGAGTTGTCTCACCAGAAAACATCATTGGCATTAATCGTTGTCAAAATCAGATTCAGTGACAGTCAAGCGCACGCTAAGCAAAAATTAAGACTTGCTCATTGTAGGGATTGATTGATAATCGTCAGTCACATTTGCAAGAGACCTTGAGTAAAGAGGAACGACCAAATAACTGATTTATTTTTTCAACTGAAGGTTACTGATGGCTGATTAATTTGAGCCAAAGTTTACTAATAGTAATACAAACTTTGTACTTTGATTGCACAAAACAAATAAAACTTCAAGTAAAACAATCTCACATAACAAATGTACAAATAAATAAAACCTAAAAACCAACAAGTGCTAAGCAGCATTCTTCCCAAAAACAACCATAGTTGAAATTAAACTATTTGGACAACAAAATTGTGTTCATTAAACAGAATGCAGCAACGTCCAGGATTACATAATAAGAAATAAAGTAAAAAGAATAATCAATCAACAATTTTGGAGTTGGCTGATGTGTAGCCATGCAAATTTAAGCACTTCAAATGTGTGCATTTCTTCCCTCTACAGAATTGGCGAGTTAAGGCCCCCATAGAACAGTTGGGAAACATCATAACATCACAGATACACAAAGCAGTTTTCAACCAATCTTAAATTATGGACATCATTTAGGTCACTTAATTGCCACCATCATCCAGCTAATATGAATATAAAAGTCAAGTACACATAACCGAAAGGCTTTCCCAATAGTCAGTACAATTTACCTACAAAAAAGATTACATTGAGTGCAAAATAATTTTAAGAAGAAAGTGCTGTAGTCCTAAACCAACTATACAGTCCAATTTATTTTTTATGAGCAAATTAGTGGTGAGCAGACAAAATGCCATTCACTGAGGCATTCGAGAAATGAACACACCAACTTGAATTAAGTGGTGGTTCATACAAGATATGCCTAATTTTTTGAGGTTAATTGTTTCAAATTCAATCAATAAACAATACTGAGGAAAGAGCGACTAAAAAAAGAAATGTGCAGTAAAAACATCATGGTAAATCAGGAATAATCAATGGTTAAGTTGTCATGAACATAAAACAAGAGGTACCTAAATAGGAAGAAATGCAAACAGAAGCAACATTACAAGTATAGCAAACAAATTTTCATTCTCTTAGTGAGACTGCCAAAAGTAGTTTGATCTAATTTCCACTAAGCTTAACTTTCATATGGGCTACACTTTGGAAACAGTATGTCAATGCAAATTGATCAAAAAGATCACTGGACTGTTCTGCATACTAGAGCTACTGTCATTGTTATTCATTACCGCCTTACATTTTTATAACAGGAAGGGGGAATGATGCATTCAAGTCTACAAGAAATGGCAGTGATTTCATACTCTGCAAAAACAAGTAGCTTAACCAATGATTGAGGTCGATTAGGCCAAAGAGTGTCAATAGAGAACTGAACAAATACAGAGCTGCATATCATTAAATTGTTTCAAAAAACATTATAACAACAACCCTTTTGTCAAATATGACAACAAAAAAAATCAACAATAATGATAATGTGACAAGGGTATATACATTTCTATATACACTCATATACATATTATTACACATATTTATCTACAAATTTATATTTTATATCAGGATAAATTGCATGAATTCCCTAGTGCAGAATAGAATTTTAGAATAAGAGGCTGAGAAAAATAAATAGATTTCCTCAACAGGATTCCAATAAATATACAAGCAGCCATACCAAAGAATATCAGTAATGGTTCTAAGCTGGGGTAAGTCTTCATTTCTTATTAATTTATTAATAAATAAATAACCAACCATGAGAAGGACCACAGCAAACCTGACAGGTTCACATACAGATGCTTCCTACATTATCAATGTGGTGTACTAAATGAAATGTACAGCAAGATGCACACAGTGTAATCAATACGGTACACTACATCCTAGTACACACTAACTTTGCTAGATTTATTCATGAAGTAAAACTTCTATAACATTAGACTATAATCTAAGCTCCAAGCTTAATAAATAATTCGACTAACAGGAAAGATTTGGGTAAACAATTTAGGCAGTTAGAAGGGACACTGCTGTCACAGCACCAAACAGGAACTGGTAAATTTGCAAGGGCCCTCTTACTGTCAGGTCTGACCAGATGACAAGACTTAACATGGCATTGCCGACAACACAATAAAAGAACCTCTTACAAAAATTCCTTTAAAATATATCAATAATTACCTTGGGGATGGTTTTGGCTATCGTGATACCCATCCCACGTGCGGTAACGGTGCGGTAGATTCTGGTGATAGGGCCTGTGATCTCTCTCCCGTCTATGGTCTCTATCTCTCTGATCCCTATGATCCCTCTGGTCTCTTTGATCTCGTTGATCTCTTTGATCTCTTTCACGGTACGATTGTTCTTCATTGCTACCTCCAGCACACCAATTCCAATCCTTGCCCTTAGGACGGAATTTGACCTTGTGGTGCCATGTGTTGGAACTACCAGGAGCAGAATTATGTACAGGATTGTGCCCATTATTTGGCTGGGATGAAGAACTGGAAGAGCTCCATGAATCTCTGTGGTGGAAGAACTTCTTCTTGAAATGCTGAGATGATGAGGATTCACTACCACTACGTTGATATTTTAAAGGTACGGAAGTAGCATTAGAAGAGGCAGGTTTGTCTTTACTGTGGCCTGGCAATGCAGCATTCACAGGGCTGTAAGGTCCATCCAGGGGCGCTGGGCTGAAAGCAGCATTTGGAACAGGCGAAGATGGAGATGGAGTCCTAGGAACGTCCGCCCGTTCCCTTTCTCTTTCGGCAGCATGGGGGTGAGGTTGCGGTACGTCAAGCACTGGAGGAGAGTCTCTTCCAGGAGACGCCTTGGCAGGTGGAGTTTTGAACAGCCTGGGCATTTTGCTCAAGGCCGGAGGCAACGGCTCGCCATGTCCGATCCCGCTGTCTGGGCTGGTGTTGCAGCTTGCGGTTGTTTCGCCGGCACGAGGAGACGCACCTTCTGTGCTTCGTCTTCTTTTATCCAACTCAGTGGATGCAAAGGCAACCAAGCGATCAAACTGAGAACTGATTTTGTCTTTCCATTCACCCCGCCCATCATCTATTTCATTGTCATCTGCAAAAAAAAAAAAAAAAAAAGATGAAAAATGTTAAAACGGATTTTTTAAAATAACCAGAATGCTTGGGAAAAAAAGAGAAGTGGATAATTGTTACTAACCAGGGGAACGATCTTCAGCAGGGTAAGGCACTGGAGCTGAACTTGAAGGTGCTAAAAGACTACTTCTAGGTGATATAGGCATTCCAGGAACTTCACCGTCCTTTAAAAAAAGCAGAAAGAAGAAGGTTGTAATGACAGTTACAAATTGAATGGGTATGGTCTCTTAATAGGATAGATGGAGAGCAGTTGGTTACGTACATTATCAGCAGCATCCACACACTGTTTCTTGTACGGGCGTGAAGGACCATGTATGAGTGGTGATGCTCTTTTGCTTGGGGGTCTATCTGGCCTGTCCGGACGAGACGCCGGTCTTTCATTGGAGGGTTCAACGGTGCTAGCTTCCAACTTCATGCTCGAGTCAGCACTGCACGACTGAGGAAGGTCTTCTCGATGCCCATCGGCGGAACGTGTTCTTTCTGGGTCTAGAGGGTAAAGAAAGTAAAGCAAAGTCAGTTAAATTCTGGAATTGCTCTATCATACAAGTAACAATGAGGAAACCAAGAGAGAATTACCGAGGTCAGGAGAAGGCTCATGAGGTAATCTTGAACTATCTGCAGCCATTAAAATGTGGGGCCCCTCTTCCGCTTCTTCTTTGATAGTCACAGCAGATGGACCTGGTGTACCAGAACCAGTCCTTTCCTCGCCATTCAGAATACGGGCATGCAAAGTGGCAGCCAGTCCTTCCACAGGAGCATACTCTCCACTGCCAGTTTCACTCCTTGATGATGCCTATTAAACAAAAACCAACATAAGTCAAAACTGAAAAAAAATTATTGAGATAACAGTTACAAAAACTCTGAAAAGAGGGCGACATACCTTGCTAGCTGCCAATGGGGGTTTTGAATCAGTAAAGTAAGATGCATAGTTGATTTTGATGTCAGCACGAGGAAGTGGAGTGTACGGAACACTTGGTGGTCTACTACGAGAATGGGATGATGAGTGGCCAGGCCCTGGAGAGTGGCTCGCCTGACTCGCCTGGCTCGCCTGGCTGGCACCAGCAGACGATGGGGACAGCTGACTGCCCAGCTGGCTGCTGTTGGGGTAGTGGATGGGATTCCGGTTGAAGGCAGCATGGGCTAGAGTGGCCAGTCCATGGTGTAAGTTGGGTGGGGATTTTGGTCTGTGCTGTGGATACGCTAAACCTTCCAAAGCCGGCACAGCTTCTTCAGGACGCAAGCTTGGTGGATACACATTGTCTCCAGCACTACTGCCATCCTCACCCGCTCGACTTAATCTCATGCCTGTAGAGAAGAGAGTTCAACATCATTTTCGAGCAAATAAAAATACATGAAAAATAATTTATGAAAATGAACAGGAGGTCAAAGACAGAGGCAAAAGGTGATGCCTTGAATTTAAAAACTGCTCTGTAAATGCCAACACTTACAAAATACAAGTAGCCCATGTTAAAAAACAAAACAAAAAGAAACATTTAAAGAAAACCCAAAAAACAACAAAAAAACACAAACAAAAACAAACTACACATTAAAATGAAAACCACACAAACATCATAGCACCCAAAAAATCAGAGTGGCATCATGCTTGTTTAAAGAACTTATTATTACATGCTCCTCTTTGTCTTCAAAAATCTACAAAACCCAATCCAGACTGGAGCCCATCAATATGCCCAAAACAAATGAACTCCAATACTTATTTTGCTTACAGTGTATCAAGAGTTCATAATGAAATCAAATTTCTCTAGACTAACCCAAAACAAAGCACAGAATTTTGAGATCTGTTTGTGTGTAGAAATACTGACCGTGCGTGTCTGGGCGAATGCTGACCCTTTCAGGGCGTGGTGGGATGTTGGCGTTGACAACAGAGTGTGGGGTGGAGGAGGGAGTAGAAGTGTTAGGACGGGGGCCTTGTGAAGCACTCGGAAATGCACTCATGTCCACAGCTGCATCAATTATTGATTGATTGGAAATTTCCAATGTGCGTTCAATTTCCCCAGAAACAAGGTCGCCAATGCTCCGCATAGCAATGGCTGCTTTACCATCATGGCCTGCAGTAACAGACAACACGGCAACATTGAATGTAACCAGCAGAGGAAAGATAATGTTTGCAATTTGAATTAAATTAACAACATTCACAATTAAGAAACTATGAGTTGATAAAACCACTGCATTTGCCAAATCCTAATAAATCTATGCAGGATTATTAGTAGAAAAAAAAAGCAGCTAAACAATTTAAGAGTAAATTAAAGCTCACAACAAAAACACCACTGAAGGTGTAGAACAATATCAGCGAAAATCAAAGTACTAATATTGTGCCTATTGTTGGAGCAAATTCACTTCTGACATGTAACTATGGCTTTTGCAACATTTTTTAAAACAATGTGTTTAAGGCTACATAAAGCTAGCTAATAGAATGGCTACATACCATTCAAAAACTTGTCAGATAAAACAAAAATTTAAAAGACAGAAAGTGTGGAGTGTCAAGGCAGCATCAAGCAATAATGGCAACTGCAGTGCAATGTAGAAAATTGACTATCTAAACTTGTAACTAATGTTATGCTCACTTAAATTTATGTGAACATTAGGGAGTAGGCTTAAAATTATTTAAGATTTAATGAACTATGCCAATAAGAGATACTGGATGCACGTACAAGTACTGCGATAAAGCAGCATACAAAATTTACAAAAAGCAAAGCTGTGATCATCATGATTAAAAATGATATAAAATCAACTTGTCCTTAAATTCAGAAGCAGGAACAAATTCTAATTCAAACAAACACCCCAAAACAAACATCTAAATGTCAATGAACACAACCACTACACAAGCAACTACACCGCCATTCAAACATCAGATGCCACAAGATACACAACGCTACAACTAATGCAATTCAAACTCTCATGCTCCTCGACTGAAGACAGCGACAAACTCACCTTGCAACTGCTCCGCAGAGGCTGCGGCTAGCCGCTCTTGCGAGAGATGTCTTCTCAGAGCCAACTTGGCCGGCGACACCTGCGTGTAGTCGGGCTGGGCACTGTGCGAGGACTGCTGCGCCTGCTGCTGGAGGACAGACACGCTGCGAGGCGGTGGCGGCGGTCCCGCAGGGTGGCCGTGCGGGCCGTGCGGGCCAGGGGGCGGCACCAGGGGCGGCCCGAGCGGGGGGCCCAGGGGCGGGCCGCCAGGGCCGCCAGGGCCGGGCTGGCTGGACGGAGTGCCCGCTTTCCTTGCAGGATGGGCGTGGGCGTGGGGATGGGGAAGGGGCCCCTTGGCTGGGACCGAGGACGGAGACAGGGCACGCTGGGAGTGCGGATGGCCGAGGCCGTGGCCAAGGCCGTGGCCCTGCACTGCCAAGTGAGAGCCAGGCCCATGCTCTAGAGCGGACGGTGGCCCAGAAGCCCCACTGGCACTGGCCGCTCCACTTCCATTGTAGTAGTAACCACTCTGGCCAGGGTAAGGGCCGCTCAGAGACCTGAAGGTGGCAGGGGAAAAAAAAAGGGATTAGCAACGGAGACACTACTGATTAATGAGAAGTGGGGAGAGCGGGACCTTACCCTTGGGCGATTGAGGCTGAATGACTCGGGTGTTGCATCAGAGCCTGCTGTTGGGCTAGAATGTGCTGCTGCACAAGTGACGGGTGTTGCTGTGCCTGGGGAGAGGGTTGGGAAGCAGCCTGCAGGTGCTGCAACTGCTGTTGATGCTGAGCAGACATCATCCGCAGTTTCTGCAGTTGCTGCTGCTGCTGTTGTGATGGCTGCTGCTGCTGAGGTACTTGGGGTGGTGGAGTCATACCATTTTGCTGTTGCAGTTTCTGCTCTCTCTGCTGCTGGTCTTCGTTCAGCACACTGGTTATTATACTCTTAAGGCGGTCCTCAAAGTTATCCACTTTGGGCGACTCCTGCACACGGCTCCCGGTAAAGCTAACAGGCTTGTTGTCTCGGGCTGGTGGTGGTTTGGGAGCAGGCTTCGGAGGCAGAACTTTGCCAATTTCTTGTCTTTGTTGCACGACACCTCGTGGCCTGGCTTGAAACTGGGCCTGAGCTTGTGCTTGAGCCTGCGCCTGAATCTGAGCCTGTGCTTGCTGAGCCTGAATCTGAGCCTGTGCTTGCTGAGCTTGAACCTGGGCCTGTTGGTAAGAATCCAAACCAATGGCTTTCCCTTGTGCACCAGGCACTCCAGAATACGGTGACGAGCGGAAGTCTGTGGCACCCAATGGGTTCATCGAGTGGCCTGTGCTTGGAGGGTTACTGTCAAGCTGTGGGGGGTACTTCGCTTGAACTGGACTCAGGCTATCACTGCAAATAATAAATCAGCATCAATAATCAACAATTTAAAAATTCATTGAGATGTTATCGATGCGGCTAGTCGCGACTTACTTGATAGCATGCGGTAGTCCTGTTGGGTGAGCAGAGGGTGGGCCGGGTGTATGAGTGGGTAAATGTGCAGGCAATGCAGGCAATGCAGGCTGGGCATGAGGAGCACCATGGTGCGCAACCTGAGGTGGATGTCCAGACTCCCTGATCTTCCCTTGCTCAATCTGACGTCCAGTTTCTAGTATCTTCTGCGCCAAAATTTCAGGATTTTGTTCCTGAATGCGGCCAACATGAGGAACGTCTGGCCAATCCTGAGATCTTGTCCTGACATCTCTTGGTTTACGCTTGCCACCCGGTGATATTAAGGGGGGTTGACTTATAGGGTCGGATTGGGCGACAACAGGACCAAGTTCAGCTTCCAGTTTTGATACCTAGAACACATCCAATGTAGGGTCAGAACAAAACAGAAAAGAGCTGATTTATTTAGTGGGAACCACTGATGAAAGTTCTAAGAGGCTCTTTTCAACAACAAACACAATAAGTTAGGCTTTGAAACAACAATAGACTAAATGTAAAAGATTATTTACATAAGATGCATCAATAGAAAATTAAAGCTTGTAAACCTAAATAAATTGGGAATTAAGTTGCACGCTGTCATTGAAACCACGCTTGTGCCAAAAAAAGAAGCAAAGCAGTGCGTCAGGTAAGGAGACAAGCAGAATAAAACTGAAAGTGCTTTCCTTTTCTTACATAAAACATGAAAAGCATTGTTTAATTCACATTCATTCTTTCACTTTCACTCCATTACTATTAAAGATTCTCTCACACACAACACAACCATCACTCACACAGAAGCACACAACATTAATTAAGCTTGCTGTCGATAATTATTGTAATTTATTTTTATCCATTGTGTTAAGCAGCATTGCCATACTAATTACATTGCATTGTGAGAAAAGATGTTATTAAAAAATTCACTAGCCACTGCAGCTAACCAGGCATAGAAGAAGGCATTAATTATCTTTCAGGGAGAAACAGACTGAATGAAATCGACCACAAGGGGAAGCTGTGCTACTGCAGAGAAGGCAAGAGTTCACTAGCAGTACCTTGCTCTTGAGCTTCTTGCGGTAGCTTAGAGTGGCAGAGATCTCTCGCAGAATGTGCTCCTGCACCACCTCCAGCTGTTGCGAGGGTGCAACGCCCACATTAGCCAGGGGTGGCGGGACATACTTGGTGCCACTCTTCCTGTTTGAGTCATGGACGTCTTGGTGTCGAAGACAGGCTAATTTAACCTGGTCTTGCTCGAGTGTGGTAACCTGTTTGTTGAAAGTGGCATGTTACACACGTGACTTTGTGCAAAGCAGCTTATGGTACAAAGTTACATGTTGCTTAAAGTAATTCAGTGGTTGATTGTGAGCAGTGATAAGAAGTAAATAAAGTGAACACAACGCAGCAATGCAACATAAAGTCAAAAGCACATGAAAGAGAAATCGCACACAATGTGATTTATGTCTTAAACAGGGATGTTTACAACATAAAAACAGTTTCCTTCACATAAAATCTAATTTTTCCTCTCTTAAATTGAAAGATAAAAATAGCGTACCTGAGTTTGAAGACGAGCCGCTTTTGATTGAAGATCTTTATGCCGCATAACAATTTCTTTGGCTTTGGCAAGTAGATCAACCGGTGATGTGGCATTGATATCAAGTTCCGTCATACGTGCTTTAAGTAAAACAACACTGTCATCAATGAGTACTTTTATTTGCTTTTCCAACTGGGCAGCTCGGCTTTTTAATTTATCATTTTGATCCTGTACAAAACAATACACTCATTAGTAAATGTGACACTGACAAGACTGAAAAAACAAACTTGAAACAACAAAAACTGAAACATAAACTCACTTTCTCCCGATCTATTTGATCTTGAACCTGCATGCGATAGGTGGAGCTCTTCATGTTCTCCACAGCCTGCATATATTGAGTTCTGAACATGTCCAGAAGAATTTGAAGGGCATAGGGTGTATCAGCTGGAGCAGCAGGGATTTCCAACTCCTCATGTACCAGAGTGGGACCTATCACTGCCAAGCTTGTCAACTGCTGGTCCACGCAGCCCCGAGCTGGAGGAAGCTTTTTACCAGAGGCTTGCGGAGAGGTACTCAGTAAAGTCTGGCTGTGTAGGAGGTCTAGTCCGGTTATTTTTATAGCTTTTTTCGGTTTGGCCTTCTTGACTCGCCCACGAGGTTTGCCTCGAACCGGAGCTCGCTGTGTTGGCATGGGGAAGGGTGATGATGACCCAGCTACGGCCCCCTTACTGGGTCGACCAGGTAGTTTCCTACCATTTTTCTTTTTTGCCTGTCTGCCACGACCTGAAGAATACCAGAGGTTATGCAATTGAATTGATTGAAAATAGTTTGTTGATAATAATTAATGGAACACAGGTAAATCTCTTACCACTAGATGCATTATTGTTCTCCTCATCACTGCCACTGCTGTTCCCACTTGGAAAAACAGACCACACCTTACGAGCATTGTCCGCCTCAGAATCAGATGAATCAGAGTCATCAACACTCATTTGGTTAACAGCTTCGCGTTTTGCATTGCGAGTAGCACGCAGACCATTTGCTGGCAAATCAGTATTTGAGTTGGAGTCTGAATTGCAGTTTGAAGATATAAATCCACTATTGGAGTTAGACTTGTCAGTCAACATTGGCACATTGACATCTCGCTGTGAACAGGTACACCAAACACAAGGAGTTACACTCTGCACTAACATCTATAGTGGACCAGGATGAGAGAGCAAACCTCCACCACGAATGCTTTGCCCATCCGAGCACACAAAGCTTCGGCAAGTGAACCATTATTACGCCCTGAAAGTGTTTTTCATGAGTAAATAAATCGAAGCTCAACAACCACTCATACAACACCAGAAGGCTTGCTTTGTGATTAGAATAAAAATTTACAGGGGTTATGAGAATAGATAATAAAAAATTGCAAGGTGGGACCAAAGCTCCACAGGTTAATCAACTGAAAGCCACAACAAGAAGTGTATGAAGATCAAGTGTATGGAATGTATTATTTTTTTTAAGACCTCTGTACACTGTTTGTTGGGCACTAATAAACTGAGTTACTTTTGAGTATTCTATTCGATTTCTACTGCTTCTACAACTACTGTACAGAACTTACAATTTAAGAGAAAACAAGGAAACTATGAATAGAATTTAAGGTTGGCTTCACTCCAAAATTACAATTACTGTATTTTTTCATTTTTTTTTTTTTTTGCGTGTGACTTAAAAGTATCTGTATTCAATATGGTGCAGGAAAAAATTATCAAACCAAAAAGCATCAAAACCAAAGAAACAAAAGCACTTCTGTATTTGCAGGAGACCCTTGGCATACTTTAACGTTTGCACCATTAGTGTAATGAATGCAAATAAATGTCAGCGAGTAAATTGGAGGATTTTCTTCACTTCCAAATTTTAGACAGGCATTGAATAAAATGAGTGCTTCTGACACACAGGCACAGCATTTCACACCAACCCTCAGATGTATCATGTTCGCGTGCGCAATATTTCATACACAAGTTGGTATCACATTTCGGAATAACGCAGGCGCTTAGGAAGATACCATGAAATGAGCAGTCATGACGGGTAAAGCAAAGCATAAAACTTAAAACAGACATGATAAAGAATTTCAACATCCACATCCAACATGTGCTTCTCGGGTAGCCAGAATTGCTTGCTATTCTTTTAACTAAGACCACTTAATAATTAGAGCAGTTTACTGGAAAAAAAACAGAACGTACTAAATTGTTATGCACATTAAGATTTTAAACATATATTCATTGCAAAATTTTTGAACAGTGATTAAATGTAGATGCTACTATTATGATTCATTTCTTAGGTAAATTACAGGTGTATCAAATAACACCTTTGAATAATAATAAAAGAATCCTATGTATGTGTGTGGCCAAATGATGGCTAGACATACAAAACGAATGGCAAGCATCTTCCTGAACCGAAATGAACAAATATGTTAATGATAATTAATTAAGGCAATGGCCCAGGATGGGTAAGAAAAACATAGCCAGAATTTCCACATTGGGATGGTGACTACCATGCTCTGGCATTAGATGTTAAATTGCCAAATTATTAAGAAAACTCAAAGCTACCCAAACTGTGCAGAGATTTGATGAGCCACTGTGTCTCAGCATTGCCAGCATGTAAACCAGCTTGATGAAGGCAACATAAAGGTGCCTTTCAAAATAAAATAATTTAACAGCTACTTCCTGCACAGGATTGATTGTAGAGCAATGCTCTGAACGCTGGTAAAATGGAGCAAACACATGAAGCAACACTGGTGGCAGGCTAGATGGTGAGACACATGCACTTAGATGACGGGAGTGTGCGCGCGGCTTGCGTATAGATCAGACCTCTGCACAGATTTGTGTTTCTACATCACTCCAATAGCACATGAATGAGGAAGGAAAAGAAAGAAACCTTTTCGCGTACCCGTGTCCTGGGATTCTTTAACTTCTGGAAGTAGCGTTCCAACTAGAAAACAAAATGAAACAAAAGAAAACAAAGACGTTAGCAAACATTAGCAGACATACAATCAGCTGCATACACATCAATGTAAAAATAAATAAAAAGAGCTGATAGAAAAACTAGAAGATTCATTCTTTTCGAAAGAAAAGAAAAATAAGTCAGAAAATAGGAGAGGAATCTAATAGGTCAGGAAAATTAAAATGAACATCACTGGTACACAGATGTAAAAATATTTGAAAAAGAAAAAAAAAAAAAAAAACACCAAAGAACAGGAGAGCACTGGCTTTTCAAAAAAACAATGCATGAAAACAAAACTACAGGATGAGTAGGGGTGTTACCCGCAACAATGAAGATGATTGAAATGACAATGAAATTATGTCAATGATTTCTAAGTACAGTAACACACAACATCAACTACTGTTCAATACTTTCAGCTTAGGGAAGACATAGAATGTTTCCTGGCGAGAAATGCGGTTGATTCGCAGGCGCGGGAAAAGGGGAGACAATTGTCTGGAATAATATGGATAAAATGTAGCTCAACCCTAACACATTTAGGTAATTGTTTTTTTTAGTGTGTAGGTGTCGGTTTTCTTTTTATTTTAGGGGAACGGGATGATGGTTGAGAGAAGAGAGAAAGAGTGATACATTTTCAGAGACCCCTTTTAGTTGCTCTGGTATATGACTCACCTTAGTTCTGTCAATAACATGTAAATAGTAAGAAACAGGTTTCCCTGTCCATGACACTGATCCACGTAGAGGCGTCATTTCAGAGACATGCATAATTGTTCCAATGTCTGAAAAATTAAGGAGAGATATTAATACAAAATTGTATTTACATGAGGAGGAAAAGTAAATGCAATGAAAGCTGCATACCTGAAAGGTTTCTGTCAGTTATCCGAAAATTCAATGGGCAAAATGATTTTGATGATACAATACGAGCGCCATCTTTCAGGTCTGCAAACCGCTCTTTCAATGAATGGTCAACAGTTGGACCAAAGGCAAAATTGTTGACGAATACAATGGAAGCACTGGTAATTTTTTCACGATACTCTGAAGTGAGAAAGTCTCCTTTCAAAAGTTTGTATTCTCCATACTTTTTTCCATACCAGCCCATCCACTTCTTAAAATGTGAACTCATTTGCTGCAATTCAAAATAAATTACTGTTTTAAAAAAAGGACTCTAAAGCACACTCAAAAACAGAAATTATAAACAGGAAATTTTAAAAAAGGTAGAGTGTTTGTTAACAATACCTCAGCATAACGAGAGGGCACATCTGCCTTTTCAACACCTAGGCAAATTTTGCACGGTGTAGCTGCAGCCATTTGAAGAACAACCTGCCCAACTCCAGATCCAAGATCCAGAAAGACATCATCGCTAGTTATCTCAATTTCATCTATCATTTGACAAATTAAATCATAAGATGTTTCCCCATAAACCTGAAACAAAATAAGTTGAAACATAATGTTTAGAAAAGAATATAAAATGTGCACCAGTAGACATTAGCAAGAGTCTTTTACCTCTGGTGAAAATGGTTCATATTGATTTAATTTTTCTGGCTCTAGCACAGCTTGGTTGTACACCTGCTGCAATATATGCCGTAGCAGTCCTCTTGAGGGCTGCTTGCTGATCCTCTGTCCTAAAGATGTACCCTTTTCCTGCAAAAAAAAAAAATTAAAATTAAAATTAAATACGTTAATTATGAAGTCTCAAGAACTCTCTAGTAGTTTGGACACCAGCATGTTTGGCCCGATCCAAAAGTCAACCAATTGGCTGTCCCCACATCAAACAGTGCCACAAGAACAAGGGTCCATGGCAAGGCAGCCCTTTCCAGCGGGTCCTTGCCGCCCCTTGCCGGTTGGAGTGAACAGGACAGAAACAAACACGCATCTGTGTTGCCCTGCCGCCCTGCCGGACGCGTGCCTGAGTAATGGTCATGGGAAGGGAAGGCTACGCGGCTACGCCCGCTGACCTTCAACTTGAGCTCGCCAACTCTCTGCTCTACTCGGCGGCGGCGCGGCGCGGCGGCGTGGCCCGGCACCCGGCAGGCCGTTGACCCGGCCCGGCCTGGCCGCGTCCCGCCGTCGTGTCCGTCGTCCAAAGCCGCCAAAGCCCCGCATCGTAAACACGGCATAAAACAGCGGCGGCATAATGGCTCGGGTATTATTACATCCTACGGCCCCGCGCGCGTCACTGCGTCACGGGACCGAAACAAAAACTAAAGGAAAGTGTGCGGCCGGCGGCCTATCCCTGCAGGGGCGCGATTCCCTGGCGTTTCTCCTCCAAGACGTGCCATTGGTGACGCAACACCCGGCCGCGCGCCCTAGAGCAGTGGCGTGCCCTCGGCGTCAGGCGGATATCGCGCTGTCGGCAGACGCTTTGCCTCTCCGATTAGGAAACACGCTCTGCCGTTTTATTCCGCTCCCACTTCATGCACTTCAGGCACCAATATCGAACGAGGAAGTCGCCTCGCCCGTCAGGCCCGTCCCGCACAACACGCTGTAGGTCCAGTGCGCCGCAGAACGCAGAATCTAACCAGGGGGGCAAATTCGCACACCCCTGTCTCAGTCTCAATTTAGATACTATACTCGGAAATGCACGCCGTGCACGCCGAGATGCAGGATGCAGGTCGGGCCGGGGGGTCGCGGGGGCAAGGTTACGGCCGCGCCGCCCCCGCGCCGCCCCCAGCGCCGCCCCACACGGAACTGGGTCACGCCTTTTCAACCTTCCTGGGGCCGCCCCGCGCCGAACCGACTCTGCACACTTATGTTAGGCCGGCCGGTCGGTTCCGGACAGTGCTATGAAAAAACTTCCACCCAAGGGACAAATCACAGAAAAGCGACACACCGTAGTTGACACTGTGGGCGACGTCGCTAATCGAGTAGCCACGGGATTGTCGGGTGTTGCTTCCCCTGCACAACGCCGCGGGCCCTCGCCATCGCCCACGTCTGGGGCAGGGCATCGAACGCGATGCCGGCCGGGGACGGGGAATTCCCATTGCCTTTATCGAATTCTCGCCACATCACGCCAAAGTCTTCCCGGGGCAGAGCCGAGCCGCGACTCCCGCGACTCGAGCCAGAAAAGCCACACCCGCCGCGTTCCCACGGCTGCGCGCTGCGCGGAGACCCGCCAAATATAGACAGACACACACAGAGAGACAGGCAGACGCCGGGACGGGCGCAGTTGCGCAGTGCTTCCAGAGCACAGCATAGTAGAGGCGGAGAGAAAGAGACAGAGGAGGACGGAAGAGAGAGGATGCACCGCTTGCATACAGGAAGGGAGAAGGGGGGGGGGGATGCTGCTGACACACATTCGCGTCGCGCGTCGCAGTGTTTGTTGGTTTGTTGCTGCCGGGCGCCACACTGGCGGTGCACTGGCGGCGCCACTCCGGGTTCGAACGACGCGGATGGAAGCGCGGGGCAGTCAAAGACAGAGAGGCGACCCGCCGTCGTACAGTCGTCGGCGTCGTGGCGGTTTTCGCTGCCGCGCACCGCATAGCACCACGGCCCCTTCCGCGTCCTCTCGGTCCTCTCCAACCACAACAGCAACAACCGCGAAAACGCAAAGGCCGCCACCCCTGTGTGCCTCGCCTCGCGTCTCGCCTACCCGTCCGGCCCGGTCCGCCCGTCCGCCGGCATCCGCTCTAAAAATACCCCGAGTTATTTTTGGCTTTGCCCATGCACCGCGCGGAGGGGGCGTCGACGGGAGACAGTCGGGCTGGCGGACGCTGGCCGACGCGACACTGCCACGCCGGCCGAGTGACGAGCGGTGGACGACGACGACGCCCTGCTGCCTACACTGCACAAGGCCGGCAGGCCGGCGGACAGGGGGCGTCGCGGGGGCGGAGCGCTCGCCGAGGAAGTGTCGGGGAAAGCGCGACCGCGTCGCCCATCCCGACGCGGCGCGTTCGGTCCCTCTCTCTCGCACTCGCGGCGCGTCTCCTAGGGGTGCGACGGTGACGGAGCGACGAAAGCCGTGTTCGGAGCAGGGACCCGCCAGGGAAGATTGCCATCGCAGCTGCACTGGGACTGGGGGTGGGGTTCATCGCGATGGTCTCGCTGCGCTGCGTGCGCCGACACCAGTGGACCGCCAGCTTTCCTCGATCTGGCTGCCTGGCCGTGCCGAGCCCGGCCCGTTTCATCCCCTTTAAAAACCTCCCCCGAGCCGAGTGGGCGCCGAGGGGATGCCCGCCCCGCCCCGCCGCGCCCCGCCCGCCGTGGAGGAGCCCCTGACGAGCAGGGGGACCGACCAACCAACGGTCGGCGTCGAGTCCGTCCGTCCGCCCGCCTGCTGGCTTCGCCTCTTCGCCTCCAGGACAACGTACCGGCCTGGCTCCCCCTTCTCCTTGCCCGCTCGCGGGGCACAAGTCCCACTTACACTAGCCGGGCCGGGCGGCGCGCCGCGCGCTCAGTTTCCCACCAGCAGCCGACAGCAACAAAGACACGGCGGCTCCACGCTCGCCAGCCTTTGCCGGCGCGCCAAACACAAAATGGCAACAAGTGAAACAAGTGCCCGCCGCCGCCCTGCCTGCTTCCGACTGCTTCCTGCCCGACCGCCTTTGGCCGGCGGGTAGGCGGCCTTCCTGGACCTTCCCCGCGGCGCGCGCGGCCCTCCGCGGCCACGCGAGGCAACCCGGCCTTCTGGCACGGCATGGCCGTGGCTGGAATGCAGGCGCCTCCGCGGCCCCCACGGCCCCCCGCCACTCTCCACGCACGTTGCCGTCGAGAGGCTGCGTCATCAGTGGCGGTGGCCCGCAGCAGCAGCAGCAGCACCGCGTCCGGCCCGTCCGGCCGCTGTCTGTTCGTCCATCCAACTATCCATCCATCCGTCCGTCCCGCACACGTGGCCGCCGTGTTTCGTTTTCGTCGCTCTGTCTCTCTCGCGTCTGTGACGCCCATTGAGTGCGAGAGAGACGGAGCGACGAGCCTCGGAATCAGTGTGCCGGTGCATCGCGATGATAGAGTAATCGGGCCTCGACTCGCGCCACGCCGCGCCACGCCGCGCCCCCGTCGGGTATTGATTTTCCTTCCCCGGGACGCGCGCGTCCGTGCTCGGTCCGCGGCAACGCGCTACCGCCACACCCCGCGGCACTGCCGCACCGCCGAGCATGGCCGCCACGGCACGGATTGGCGCCAAAAGTGGGACCAGTCCGCCACCCGCGACGCCACGCCGCGACCTCCAGATGGCACAATTTTGATGCATTTTGTTATCCAGCCCCGCCGGCTGGTGCGCTAGCTTAGCTGCGACAGCAAGTCGCATAATCGCAAGCAGACACCCGCCGCCCCGCCGTCGGCGAGGCGGCACGGCACCGTCAGCGGCTTTTCGCGGCCGCGTCGCGTCAGCAGCCCCAGGACGCTCCGGACTCGGTCAGCGCCGTCAGCGCCCATGGCCGCCGAGGCCCAGATACGACTGGCAGTGGCGTAGCAAGGGGGGGGGGGGCATCGGCACTGGCAGTCCGCTGTCCGCCACTGGCCGCGGGGGGAGGTTGAGGTTCCCGTCATATTCATAGCCCTCGGCGCTGGCCCTGTCGCACCCCCTTCTCCTCCCCGTGGCCCCCTAGAGCGGCCACTGCATCCGCGCGCTGCCAGCAGCAGCAGAGGACCGATTCCGAGAACGCGTTGTCTCTCTCGCACCTTCACGCCACGCCCGTAAGAGTGCGAGAGAGAAAGCAACGTGAGAATCATTCTACAGCAGCAGCAGCAGCAGCGCGGCAGAAGGTGAGTCAATGCTCCCCGTCGTCCCCTTGACGGCGTGGCGGGGCGGGGCACCGTGTCACGTGACCACTCGATCAATGCCGCTGCCACCGCCCCCGCGGCGCCCTGCCAGCCCTGCCAGCCCTGCCAGCCCCGCCGCGCTTTTAAAGGAGAACAACCCTTCCAGGCGGCCAGGGGGTGAGGCGGGGCGAGCTCTTTTGGCAGCTTTGCCTGGCTTGCCAGGGTGCTGAGCTGCAAACCCTGCCCCGCCCACCACGGCCCTCCATCCCTATCTCTCTCTCTCTCTACCCACAGCGCCCTGGTGCCACAACAAAAGGGGTGGGGCGCCCCGGCCGGCCCCGCCCCCCGTCCCGAGTGGTAGAGAGCCGCGTCCTGGGTCGGACGGAAGGCGAGGCGAGCAAGGGCCCTCTCGGAAAGCAGAATCCAGCTCTGTGTGGCCGGGCCAGGGCATAGCGAGCCGGGCCGGGGCTCACGCTTTCTCGGCGCGGGGCTTCTCTCCTTGTTTTGGTGGCCGGCCGAGAGAATAACGCGTCCAGCTCGTAGGCCCCGGCGAGGCAGCCGAGGCGGCCGAGACTGAAGACAGCCGAAGGCCGACCCGACCCGACCCGCCCGGTTCCATTCCTGGCGCGGCGCTGCGTCGCCGCTTGCTGCGTCGGCGTAGAGGAGTACTTTCACTGGCCGCCCGTCCGGGCCTCCGGGCCCCCGGGCCGCGCCACCAAACGAGCAGGGGAAAGGGGCTCAGGCTCCAGCGCCGCTCCAGCTTACAGCTCCGTCATTACCGCCGTCATCGCCGAGGAGCCCAAGGCCCCCAAGGCCGCGGCAGCCGCGGCGTAACGGTGCACTGTCCGCGCCCAAGGCTCGCCTCCAGTGCCTCGGGTACCTCATCGGGCGCCTCCAAGCAGGCAGTGCCAGGCAGTGCCAGGCACCCAGCGCGCCTAGAATGTGCTCCGCCACTCCAGGGTAACGCTTTCCCAACTTGCAGCGACGCGGCCACGGCGCCACGGCGGCGCTCCAGCAGCTCCAGTCCCTCCAGTCTCGCGCCAAGTTGGAGCCAGCCGAGTCAGGTGCGACCGCGGCGCGCATCATAGGCAGGCGGGCAGGCAGGCTGGCCAGCTGGGGGGCTCCCTCGACTCCGCCCGTCCCGCACCTGCCGACTGCACCAGGTGCACCTGTTCGATCGCCGCGGCCCCGGGGGCGGCGGGGCGGCAAGCCCAAGCCCCACCTGCCGGCCGAGCCGCAGGGCCGCAGGGCCACAGGGCCGGGCCGGCCTGGCGGGAAAAGGGTCGCCGTCGTACTGTATTGGCAGTGTGCGACGGGCGGCGGCAGTACAGTTGGCCCGAGCGGGTTATTTGCGTCCCCGGGCCTGTGCGCCGCGCACAGTCCTCCCATGTAGTACTTCGACTCCTGCTTCTCCTCGAATGAGAGCGGGCCGATTACAGCGCGCTGCCGCCCCGGCCCCGCCAAGGGCATCCATGGCCCGAGCGATGAACCAGCGCGGCCGGTGGAGCGGTGGCGCCGCGGCGCACGCAGCCCCCATCAGACAGGTACGACAGGTGACGAGGCACCGCCGGCACCGCGCCCGATCACGGCCTGGTCCAGCACACTGTCGAGCGACAGGCCGACGCGCCGCAGGGCCGCCACAGGCAACCGCTGGGTAAGGCAACGTGGACACGCACGCCTTCAGAGCCTCAAGTCTGTACACCCACTGTCAACTTATCGAGTACCCGCCGACCACAAGGCCTGCGCACTGTACTAAAAACACGAGGCGGCGTCGCATCGGCCTCGACGTAGGCCTCGAGGACGGGCAGAGGTCGACTCAAGGTGGGCGAAGGGCGCGCCAGGCCAAGCAGGGCGAGCAAGGCCGGCAAGGCCACCTCCACGTCGACGGCATGTCGGCCGATGTCGGCGGCCACCCCGGCCCCGTCATCGCGCGTCCGCCGTAGTGTCCTACTGTACGAGCGCACGCCCCATTGACGCCGGCAACAAGTGCTCTGCTCCACTTTGTCCACTTCGTTCATCGCCAGCCACTAATCGGGCATGCTCCGCGCTGCGCGCTCCGCCTTGCAGTTCGAGTGACGAGTCGGCGAGCCGCCCTGCCGCCACGGCTCGGCCACGGCCACCATGACGGCGGCCACGGCCAGCTCAAGGCCCCGCCGTGGCGCGCCGTGGGTCGTGGGCCCCCTGCCTGCCCGCCCCCTGCTCAAGGTTACTACAACGCCCATTCATAATTCGCACGCAGCGGACCAGGCCCCGCCAGGCCGGGGTCCGCCCGCCCCGCGCCGCCACCATGTGTGAGAGAGCGCGTGCCGCCGCAGAAACATTTACTTCCAGCTAATTCATCGTCGTCGACGTCGTCGCGCTTGGTCGCTCTGTCTCTCTCGCATCCCCGAGGCAACGCCCCGGACCACGAGAGTAAGAGAGACGCAGCGCCAAAAGCACCCCAGTTCGGAATCAGCCTCCAAAAGCATCCACGTGGCCGGCGGCGGCGGCCAGCACAGCGGTGACATGCGTCGTTGCGGCACGACGGCGCCGGCGTGCGCGCCACACACACAAACGCACGCACACACACACACAGACGGGCACAGCGACTGCAGCGGCAGGCAAGGGGGCCGGCGCTAGGCCGGCGTCCTTGGCAGCCGCGCAGCCGCACACGCCACACTGGCAAAGGCATTGCACGACGCCGCGCTCCCGACGGTTACGCGGTACAGTACACCGCCTGTACTTACATATACATGCATATACAACACGAGCTACACGACTAAATCGCACACGGGCGGCCGGGGCGGCAGGCAGGGCGGAGAGCAGGGCGGCGGCCCCGATGGAATTGCAGAAAAGGCTGCAGAGCGGGCGCGCTCGCTCGCTCCGAATGACTCATAATATTATTCGTGTACAACATCAACATCGGGGCACAGGAAAAATAAAAGCAAGAACAAGCCTCGCGAGCAGTCCGACGGTCCGACGGTGCGTTTCATAATGTATAGAAAAGCACCTGCCGCGGCACGTGCCGTGCCCACAGTGCAGCGGCAGTGCTGGCAGTGCACACGCGCACGCACGCCAAAGGGAAACGAACGTCGCTCCACTCACCAGTTGCACGATGCTGTCGATGGCCCTGTTGTACTTGTCGCACAGCGCCTTCATGCTGTCGAAGCTGCGCGTGTCGTAGTCCGTCAGGATGTTGTTCTTGATGGCCGACTCGAGCTCCGGGTGGTCCTCGCACACCCACCTGCGAAAAGGGAAAGGGCACAATCATTAGGCGAAGGCAACAACAACAGGCACTCAATGGGCGATCAATTCACTTTCTTCCCGCTTTGTGTCTGTCTAAAGCCCTGTTTTTGTTGTTTTTTATTCGGGTGGCTGTGTTTCTCTGCCGCGTTTACCGTTATCATTTTCCTGCTGTTCGTGGTGGACAGTCGGTTCTCCCGCTCGCCGGCAGAGCGCGCTGCGGCGGCTCGTTGCAGCGGCACGCACTTATCAGGGGGGCCTTATCAATCGCATGGAGGGAGACAAACTTGGCGGCGCGGCTCGGCACAGCGCGAAGCGCGACACAGCACCGGACCTTGACTCGACGCGCCACCGCCACAAGCCTCAGGCACAAGCCCCGCAAGCCTCAGGCAATGTCACGATCCGCACCGACCCATTTTCCACACGTTTAAAAAAAGAACGCTGCTCCCACGGGCTTCGAACGGGCTTCTGGTCTCCCTAGGGGTCCCCCCGCAGCAGGCAGACGAAATGACTGCGACTGTCTTCCTTTTCCCGTTTTTGCGATTCATTCCTGTTTGGACTACATAGTCATTTTTTTGGGACTGCCCACTGAGCGGACCGTTTCGCCGATACACAATGTCTCTGCGATTGCGAGGAGTCCGTGGGAGCCTCGAGTACAATCCTACGCGACGGGGAAGTTCCGAAGAACACAGTCTAATTCTCGACTTGGCTCCCGCGGCGAAAGCACCTTGGCGTCCCAGAGAGCAGTGGCCTAGCGCGGACTGCCCTGCTAGGACAGATCATCCAGAGCCACCTCCTCCGCGACGACAGCTCGCAGCGACAGCGGCGGCAGCGCGAGGACGCCCCCTTGCGGTACGGCGCGCGGCGCGCTACGGCGCTGCAGTGTTGTCGGCTCTACGGCAGCTGATCGGGCCCGTGTCGCTGACCCCGGGCCGCGCCGCCGCGATGTGCCACGACGTGCCGCCGCCCTACGCCACGCCCGGCCACGCCACCGTTCGTGTGTTCGTCAAAGGCCCGCCCGCTTCACGAACCAGGTCCTAGCCTGCAGGGCCTGCAGCACCACCGCGACGGGGACCGAATTAGCACGGTGTAGGGGACCGTGGGGACCCACAACACCCTGCACGCCACGCCAGCCACGCCGGCCGAGGCCAAAGAGGTCGTGCGGGTCCCCGCGACGCCCCCAGGGGCACGGCGGGCTCCCCCAGGCCTCTGAACAACCGAGGCTCGGGGTAGGCGGTCAGTACACTGCACACGGCCCCTGTCGCGTGCAGTACTGTACTGCGTGGTACACCACAAAGTGACCCGGGGGCAATCGCCACCCCTGCGGCCAGGTCGGGCTAAGGCCAGCGGGCTCGTCCCGAGTCACTGTCTCTCTCGCAGCCAGGGGGGCGTGCCGTGGGTGTGCGAGAGAGACAGCGCCGTGAGGCACCGCAGGTCCGAACCGCGTCAAACCCACCAACCCGACCCGGCCCTGGGCAAGGCCCGGGGCAAAGCGGGGCAGTGCGGGGTGCGGGCGTCTGGCTCCGCCAATTTCCCCGGGGAGGCTCCGCGGCCGCGCCGTGCCTGGCCGCGCTGACGTCATCCCCCTTCCACCTGTCGCCCCGCGCCGCCCCGCGCTGCCCGCGCCGTCCTCCAGCATCCCACCCCACCCCTTCCTGGCACACCGCAGGGGAGACCCTTCCGGGACCATCTCCGCGCTGGAGATGCCGCACGCCCTGAGCGCCCCCCTGCAGGCCGATTCAGAACGGTGCTTGGTCGCTCTCCCTTGCACCCCTACCAAACGCCTTCGGGCCTTCGCCTGCGAGAGACAGAGCGACTGGCCGGGTGAGGTCCGAGGGGCGTCTCGAGGCCAGGTCCTCTCCTCCGCACCCCCGCGCGGCGCACCGACCCCGGACTGGAGCGGGCCTCGCCGCCGAGCCACCGTCGGCCACCGTGCACTGGCCGGCCTGGATCAATACCGTCATGGAGGAGGCCGCCGCCCGGGCGCCTCATGGCGAGTGCATGCGTGACAGAGTGGGCGCTGGTGTGCATGACGGCGCACAGGCGCGGCGCCACAGCCACCCTTTCCGTCTCTCCGGCGTGTTGTGGCGCTGCAGCCCTTGGCCGGTCGGGCGGCGCAGGCAGGCCCGAGGCAGCATAGGCCTGACGAACAATCGATCCGCGGAGGGGAGCGGGGGAGGGGGCCGGAGGGGGCGCTGGGCTGCACCGCGGGGACCGCCATGGCGTGCCACCACCACCACCGCGGGGTGGTTCCGGCTGGACTCGGAATAGCTAGACAACTTGGCAACACCGCCAACCACCCTCGCGGCTCTCGCGGCGCCACGCTGCCTTCGGCCACTTCGGCAGCCTCCACGGCCTCCACCCCCAGAGCGCGCACTCTGCTTGCTGGTGGTGCGAAAGTGCGCGCAAAGCCGCCTGAGCCGCCTGCACGGCGCCACGGCCCGGCACGTGCACGCCGAGCGCCACACGCACCTGCCCGTCGGGGCCGCGAGTGACGACATCACTAATTACTACCACTCTCACTTACGAGCGCCGCTCATTCATTCATTCGGCCGGTCGTTCGTTCATTCATTTATTCATCGAGCAGAGCGCGTGGGCGGGGCGCGGGAGAAAGGGGGAAGGAGACGCCGTCGCCGCGTCGCCGCCGTCCGCGACGCGACCGTGGGAACGTCCAGGAGAATCACAACCCCATCGCCGCCCATTCATTCATCGGCGGCCAGTGGCGGGCAAACCGCCTCCCCTACCCCTCCGGAAGGCAGGCAGCATGGCAGGCAGCCACCCCACTCTCCCCAGCGCGGCGGGCAGCAACAGCGGCACGGGGTCGAGGCTCTTTACCGCGACGCACTGCAGCGCGCTGCAGCCCAGCTGGAGCAAGCTGGAGCAGGCCGAGCCGCAGACAGCCAAGGCTTCGCCGCGCTTCGCCTTTCCGACCGGGAAATCAAAGCACTGTAACCGAAGTGCGTGACACCGGCCTCCCCCTCGCGTGGCATCGCGTGCGGGGCGCGCTGCCATGGCGGCGCCACTGCCAATGCAAACTTTACAACGTTCGCCCAGGTTGAGTCCGGCCGAGCGCGCGGCGTGGCGCGGCGACAGCGCGCCGCACCGCCGCACCTGTTGGGACGCCGCCATCCGCGCCAATCAACGCTCACACCAGACGACGAGGCCGCGAGGCGGGTTCGAGACCCGGCCGCGGCCAAACCGAGACGCCTTTTCCCCCAACAACGCCTCCCCTGCGTCAGCTGACGAGGCGGTGCAGGCGGTGCAGCCCGTCAAGTCGACGTCCGCAGGGTCCGCAGGTTGAAGGTCAGGTGCAGCCGTAGAGGTGCACAAGGCGGCGAGTCGATGCAGTGGACTCGACTCATTCCGAGCGTCGACTCGTCGCTCTCGCACTCCTGAGCGCGCCGTCCAGGTGCGAGAGAGACAGAGTGACGAAAACAACCCTCGGAGTCAGTCTGCAGCCGCATGTCTAAGTTACCCGCTCGGGCCGAGATACGGCCAGCGCGGCCACCAGCTGAGCGTGCGAGTGTCCGTACATGAGCGCACTTCGTCGGTCAACCACGAGACAGCAACGAGCTTTCCGAAAGCCACGCGGCAGGCACACTGTGCAGGCACGGCCGGCACGGCACACCGAGCCCGAGGGGCATTCGGACGCATCGACGCGGGAACCGGTTGGTTGGGGACCAAGCCTAACCGTGGTCAGGCGCGTGAGCCGCGGCAGCAGGACGACGCACTTGTTGTCCGTGAGGTGCAGCGCCGCATCGCCACGCACGTCACGGTGCACCACGGCCGGCCAATCAGACGGAGGCCAGCCGGACTGGACGGGGAGGGGGCACACCGGCCCCGAAATAAAACCTGCCGGCCGGCATGTCGTGGCTCGGCGGCCTGGCCTGGCCATGGCCACGGCGGCCAAGGATCCGGCCGAGGGGCAGCGGCGGTGGCAGGACCGTGGCAGGACCGCCAGAACGCCGCAGCACGTCGAGCGTCAAGTGCCGGGCCGGCCGGGGCTGCGGCCGGCTTCGGCGACCGACCAGAAGGCGCGGCGGGCAAGCCGGGCCAGCAAGGTCACTGCCACGCCGAAACAAGTAGTAACGCCCTAAGCAGAGCCAAGCAGAGCCAAGCAGAGCGAAGACCGCGGTGCCCGGCAGTCCGGCCGTCCCGAGACGGCAAGACAGCACGCCGACGGCACGCCGTGGCGTGGAGTCCGAGCGCACTCCGCGGTGCCCGGCTGTGTTGCCCGGCGGTGCCCCGCAGCGATTCGCGGTGCGGAGGGCATTCCTCCCACTCGGCTGCGCCGTCGTCGTCCTCGGCCCCACCGTGGCCCCCACTGGGAAGACTCGTCACACTGCACGTGAGGCGCGTGACGAGTCGCCAACCCGCGAAAGGCCCCGCGCGCCCAGCCGGCTAGCCCCCTTCGTTACCGATCGTTACGTTTCATTTCGACGACGTGACGGTGACGGGCCTGGCCGGCCTGGCCGCGCAGGTGGACCAAGAATTATTGGGGGAGGGGAGAGGGGCCTTGCTGCCTTGCTCGCTCCCTGCCGTCTGTGGCAGGTCGACGAACCCTCTGCCCCCCCCTCTTTCCTGCTAGTTCCTGGAGGAAGGCGCATCTCCAGAAGAGCTCTCGGCTGGAGAGAGTGGGCACGGAGAGGGAGGGGGCGGGGCGATGCCCGCTGCGGGGAACATGCTTCGCGGCGAGGAGCAGAGAGGGCCGTGCCTCCCGTACCCAGCCAGCCAGCACCGGCCTTTAGCCTCGGCTCACCTGACGCCCGTCACGTGCCCACAGGAAAATACCCACGCACCAAAAACCCCGGCGCACTGTGTGGCGACGGCGGGGCTCGAACGCGCGACCGCTGCTGCCGCGGCGCGCAAGGCGCGCAGGCCCGCGCGGGTCGTCGACCTCGCAGCGTCGCCGACTTCGGGGCTGCGAATGAATGGACGGGCCGAATGGGCGAATCCGCGACTGGGCGCCAAGGGCGTGCAGCAGTGCACCGCGTCGCGGATATCTTATCCGCCTATCTGTGCCTCGAGCGGCGGCGGGGCGGGGCGTCGACGGCGGCCCCGGGTGCACCGCGGCGGGCAGCGTGCAGCGGCGTGCAGCACGACGCCGCGGCGTCAAGCTGCGCCGGTCGCCCCGAAATAGACGGCCGGCCAATTGCATTCATTGCATTCGGATGCAACAAGACGGTGATGTGCACCGCGTGCACCGGGCCCGGCGTGCGACGTTGCCGCGCCAACCTGTCGTGTCCGTGTGAGTGCGAGTGTGTGTGTGTGCGCGCGCGCCATGCTGTGCGTGCCGGCCACCGTCGCATCCACCCGCCCGCCAAGTCGGGCCGTCGGGCCCAAGTCGCGTCGCTGTCGCGACCTTGCAGGATGCATTCGAGTACAGCCCCTGCTCTGCCGCGCCGCCGCGCCCCGCCTCCTCCGCACCGCGCCGGGTGGGGGCTGGGCCGGCTGGGCCGGCTGGGCTAAAACATGACTGGACCGAGCTGAGCGCGGAGCGACGTTGCCGCGCGGTGCCGATCCCGCGGGGCGGCGAGGCGCGGTGCGGTGCCGCGAAGCGCATAGCGGCATGGGGTCCTGCCTAGTCCTGCCCGTCCTCTAGCCCGTCGCGTCGCGCGCGCGCCATACGGCTCCGCGGAGTGTGGAGTGCACAGTGTACGTGCGCGTGGTGCTCGGAGAAATGGACGGATATTTAAAGGGACGCTGGGACGCACGGCGTGGCGGAGCGTGGCGGTGCACGCGTACATTCCCCCCTCCACGCAGAGGCGGGGGAGTGGCGGAGCGACGCGGGTGATCCGCTGGCGAAGTGTCGAGTCGAGCCAGAGAAACAAAACAAATGCAAAACAGACTTGGCCTACACTTGTCACTGCCAAAAAATGTTCTTGGCATGACACGCTTGTTAAATGTGCCTGAGGCCATTGTCCAGGACAATCTCAACAACAAGCACATAAATGAACTTCACTATGAAACATCTCCCATTGGTTGCAAAGACTTAGCACCGTCAAGCAAATATGTGGGTCGGAATAGTTTTTAAGACTGTAGAACCACGAGCACTGTTCTAGGACTAACACTCTAACCAGTCATCCACAGTTCAATTAGGACCACCAAGTACAATCACACCAAAATAAAAAGACCTAACATTTCAACTGCAGGTCAATGTAGGAACACAGGTCACACAAACCTGGATATTTGTTGTTAAATATTGTGGTTTCTAAAATAAAAAGCAGCGCAGAAGAAAGTACAGACTACTTACCGAATGGTATCAACAATTTCAACAGCGCCATCGCCTTTCTCCTGAAAATACAACAAAGAAGAATTATAAATTGACAGTCTTTTGCTTTCACTGGTTCCTACTTTAAGACAGCTGAGATTGGACCAGTCATGACCTGAACACAATCTGAAATTGCCTTTCTTTCAAGTTAATGTAAGAAGTATGCTGGGTTACCACTGGCATAGGTGGCGAGATATGCGCTAGAAGCTTCAAAACAAAATTTTGACATGAAATTGAATGTATAAGCATTTGTACTTTTAATTTACTCAGGATAAAACAATACAATGAAGCATCTTTTCTAAACAGTATTAAGTGTAAACAAGGATTGAAAGAGCACAGAAATGTACTAAAGGAAGTTCACTCAAAATAGTCATGTGGACAGGTCAGACACAGAAACAAAATCTTTTCTTTTTAACAACAATGTCACTGCCTACAATCTAACAATATTCATGAGTACTGACAATTTAAAATTGACATTAAATGGAAGTAATAGGAAAGCGAATGTGATAGATAGTGGCATTTGTAAACATTGCCTGGTTCTAACCTGCAACCTTACAAAGTAAAAACATAGTATTTGAATTGAATTATCTAACCCCAGATGTTGAATCTGAAGACAATTTGATAGAGACAATGTGCAACAATCAAGAAAGTTGTGGTATAACAAGTTCAACATAATTTCAAGTTGACAACCATCAAAAACCAAATTCCATATTTTTAATTTTGAAAATGATGGCATAACTCGGTAGTGTGCGCACACTAATAAGTAAATTTTAAAATCACAGATTTTTTTAAGGTTTGTTGTTTTTTTAAACACAACTGAGTTAGTATTTGAGGTAGGCCATTAACCTTAACCCATCAATCGATTTTGAGACACAAAGAGAGAAACACACACAGAAACTGACAACAAAGTGTTGTAAGAGAACGTTACAAATGTTAGGTGGCAGAAATAGATAACAGACAGGCCAAGACACAATAAATACTCCACAGAGAAGGCTGAACTTCGGGGCTCACAAGGACTGCCCAGTTTCCGACACTTTTTCGAAACCTAACCGGAGCCAAGCGACGTACGACGTAGAAATTTCATGGGTGGATGCTACAGTTGCTCGAACACAAGTATCAAACACACGTAAATCTGGAAATTGATGCACTCGCACTTTCCACAAGAACACACCACTGGCAAGATCACACTTACTCCTCCCGAGCTGAGCGGCCACGGATAAACAACGGGCTCTGCTCCAACGGGGCTGTGCAGAACGAGTTCTTGAGCCATTTTCGGTAATCCAAGGCACTCAAACTCACTTTTCACCACAAATCACACTAGAAAACACGCAAAAACCTAGTTAATCAGTCATTTTTGAACACACGGTCGCGTTGCGCACTCCGACCTCCTATTTACACGCCATGATGGAACCGTTTCTAAAGCAAGGTGTCTCCGAAAATGCGCCACGAGCGTCTCCCGGCGGCCATGTTGTTCTGAGCGGGCGGCGCGGCGGAGCGCGGCAGCGGCCGTAAGATGGGCAAGGGGGGGCGAGGGAGGCAGAGCGCGGTAGAGGGGGGCGGCCGGGGAGGGGGAGAAAGTCGCGGCCGCCACTCATTTTCGGAGGCAGCCTCACGTCCGCAGTTCCCCACTGGGCGGCACTGCGCGTGCGCGGGCCGGGCGCGCCATGCTTCGAACGGCAGGGAAGCGCAGCGGCAGCGCGGTGTGACTCGTATGTGTACATGAGAGTGACAACTGGTCAGTCTAGCAGTGGTTAAACCTTTGAGTGGTCGTGGATAGGCAAGAGGCAGAAAGTTTGAGGGGTTATTTTGTACAAAAATCCAGTCTTAGTAAATATTTTATTTTCAAAAATGTCCAAGACAATCTTGAGTGACAAGTAGTTAGAACATTGCATAGAAGCATTGAAATAAATGCTTGCATATAATCCACCTACACCTGCTACAAAAATAACTCTAGGTTGTCACAACCTGGAACCATTTGTTATCAGATAGAATTCAAAAGGCAAGTCCAAAATTTAGATCTCTGGAGGGGAATGACGATACTCAAGAAAGTGAGATTAATCTAGCTTTGTACATTTGACTTAAGCTGTTTGTGGCTGTTGTTGGACACTTGAATCTTCTGCGTTGTCTCCATGTTTTGGTGGTTGGTCTAGTATCTTGTCAATCAAACCAAATTCTTTGGATTCTTGAGGATTCATAAATTTATCTCTCTCCATATTCGCCTCTAAAATACACAAAAGAACCCATGTGAAAATAGACACTGGCTCGAAACTAAGTGAACTAGTGAAAAATGAATTTGACTACAAACCAATTGTTTCCAATGGCAACCTGGTGTGTTTCACATAAAGATTGTTAATCAACCTCTTAAGTTTCATTATTTCTTCTGCTTGAAGAACTATATCAGTGGCTTGTCCCTGAGGGAAGCAAATTAAATTGATATGTAGTTTCTTATTTGATAGAGAGAACCAATTTGTGAAAGAAAACTTACAGCAGCTTGTCCCGAAGGTTGGTGAATCATAATGCGAGCATGTGGCAAGGAATGACGCATTCCTGGTGCCCCTCCTGCTAAAAGCAGACTACCCATACTGCATGCCTGCCCAACACACCATGTCGCAATGGGCGGGAGGATGTATTGCATGGTGTCATATATTCCCAGTCCAGCAGTCACACTTCCTCCTGGACTAAAAACGAATAAATATCAAGACAAAATATTTCAGGAAATTGTCACTCAAAGGAGGGAGCAAGGGTTTTCGAAGCTTACCTGTTAATGTACATGTGAACTGGTTTTTTGCTACTTTCTGACTGAAGAAACAAGAGTTGTGCCACAACTACAGATGCTAGATCATCTGTTATCTGAAAAAATATCAAAACAATGTGAGTAAAATTTGCTACGGAAACTAAATTTCTAAATTTAATTAATTTGATAATAACATACAGGCCCCATCACACATATTATTCTCTCTTTCAAAAGTCGTGAATAAATGTCATATGCTCGTTCACCTCGACCAGTTTGTTCAATAACCATTGGTATTAAATTGAGATGTTGTGTCGCAGTCAAATGAAGTGGTTGGCTCTTCTTCAGCAAGGAGAGCCCTGGTTTGCAGAGCTGCAAACAAAGAGAAGAGTCACAAAAGCAACCGGGAAAGCTTTCATTTAATCCGAAGGCCGCAGTACAGAAAATTAAATTATCAATCAGACAAAATAGACAGTAAACATAACCAAGGAAAGTTTTTGTCACACTACTTAAATAAGATAGAACGTAGATACAGCATGAATTATTGATTACCTGCAGAGAATTTTTCACATGAGACCACATCCTTACAAACTGTCACTCAAAATAAATGGCTCCAAAAGGAACTATGGAAGAAAATGGGTATGATTTACAGACCCAAGACCCGGCTACACTGGTAGTGATGCAGTAACTCTGAAAGAATAGAAACATTAAGCGCATACTGCAGGGAAACACCTCAAAGACAAGACCATGGTCGAGCAAAGCTGCGTATGTACTTTTCTTGTCTTCTTTCGACGATGAATGCAAGGGGGAATTTCAACGAAGCTTATGTTGCTGTTGTCCACAGCTTTTCTGCAGTTTTCTGCGACTGTACTCTCGTCCTTCGAGATAAGGAGAACCAACTGTTAAAAAAAAATTCTAAAACTCCTGAAAGAAACATGAAGATGAAGAATTAAATAAAAACATTACATCTATTTATTATAAATACAATAGAATTATCTGACAGAGTCAAACTTTAAATAACTCTTTCTTTTAAGCAGAAGTTTCGATACGGAAACAAACGACGAACGTCAATGTTGATTGGTTGCTGCGTATTTACTTCGTGACGTAGGGCTGCAGAAAGTACTTAGTATTCCATATCTCGTTGAAGGGTTCAAGTCAGCTGTACCGCTGAGTTCTCATTCAGCGTGAATCAGAGTCTTCTCTCAACCAGAAAACATGTCTTATGCATACTTGTTTAAGTACATTATCATAGGAGATACTGGTAAGCTCAGCCGAGAACAATGAAACGCACATTTCTAATTTCAATCCTTTAGGCCTAGGCCCGACGCAATCTGTTTTTGTTCTTTGTGTTAACTTGTGCGCCTTAGTTTTAGTCCACAAATAAGAACGAATTTGCGACGTGCATTGCTAGGTAAAATGTGCGCAACCCAGGTTTATCGAGCGCTGCTCAAGCATCCCGTTGGGTGTTGATGTCACCATAAGGTGTCCATTCGTCTGCTGCTGTCAATTGCTTTGTCTTGATTTCAAGATGATAAATTTTGTCTCCTGCGTTTTCTTGTTTCCTGGTTGCATCTGTTAAATGATATGTCAGTATTCTTAGTTTCAGAGTGAAAACGGTACCTACTTTGCATGGCTACATTACATTCTACTTGAATGAATGAGTCATCTGTAGCTCATGTCATGCTTTCTCATCATTGGATTTTCATGTATTTGTGTTATGTATTTCCAGGTGTTGGCAAATCATGCCTTCTCCTTCAATTCACCGACAAACGTTTCCAGCCTGTCCATGACTTAACAATTGGTATGCCACACCAAATTTTGCTTTGTCTGATTTTCTGCGTGCTGTACACTCAAAACAATATGTTGTTGGATTGTTGAATTTTACGTAACTCTGTTCTTTTGTCAGGGGTTGAATTTGGTGCTCGTATGATTACCATTGATGGAAAGCAGATAAAGCTGCAAATTTGGGACACGGTATGTTCTTGTCTTCTCAACGTGTATCTGTGTTAATGGAAACCCCTCTTAAGTGATTTCTGTTTCCTTATCCTAATAGCTGCATTAATATAGATTGTCTTCTTTCTTTAGGCTGGACAGGAAGCTTTCCGCTCAATCACTCGATCCTATTATCGTGGAGCAGCTGGTGCTCTCTTGGTTTATGACATCACCAGAAGGGAAACCTTTAACCATCTGACCACATGGCTAGAGGATGCCCGTCAGCACTCCAACTCGAACATGGTTATCATGCTCATTGGAAACAAAAGGTAAAGTGTAATGAAAATGGTGTTAAAAAATTGAGTTTTACCTGAAGGCTGCTTTTGAGTGTGATGTGTTTCTTTTCTCCAGTGATCTGGAATCACGCCGTGAGGTGAAGAAGGAAGAGGGTGAAGCCTTTGCTCATGAACATGGTTTAATTTTCATGGAAACTTCTGCCAAGACTGCTGCAAATGTTGAAGAGGCATTCATTAACACAGCCAAAGAGATTTATGAAAAGATCCAGGAAGGCGTCTTTGACATCAATAATGAGGTCGTTGTTTTGCGTTGCTATCTATCTGTAGGTAGTAAAATATGCTGTAACCAGTCCTTCAATTGATTTCTTTTGCATTTCTCTTCAGGCTAATGGCATCAAGGTTGGGCCTCAGCACTCTCCCACCAACCCCAGCCTCTCTCCCAATGGACAGGACCGAGGACAGGGCGGTGGATGCTGCTAAATATGGAATTTATCAAGCACAAGTGAAATGGTAAAACCCATGGCAGCATGACCAAGGCCAGCACAAACTCTTCATACCAGTGATCCATTCTGTCTAAACTTCTCTATTTTTGTTAATTGTTGGTCAATGCTGATAAAAACATGGTGAGTTAGCATATTAACTTCTGCGAGCTCATTAGATATGTTTATCTTTATAACTTAATCAACCTCTTATGAATCAACTGGCCTCACTTGAGAATGGAACAAATCAGAAGATAAAGACTCAACATATGGGTGTGGAACTTCAAGTATTTGGTGGTGTGCTGTGCTGAAACTTGTTATTTCCTCATTTGTGATTTTTAGTGGATGCTTGCTTATCATGCAGTTGAAGTGTAATGTTACAAAGTAAGGGGTCAATTTATGTTTAGGCCCCCTTTTTTTCTTAATTTTTTTTATTTCTATTTTAATCTTGTTACATTTTTGCCATTTAAGACTTAATCAGTAATTGGTTCCCTGGCGGTGTTTGAAGTATGCTGAAGGAAGCAAGGTTGAAACTGTTTCATTTCCCCCTCCCCCTGCTAGCATTGGATTTTAAAAACCCTTTCATTCCTTTAAAAAAAAAGAAATGGTTGCAACCTTGTGAAATATTGTGATGATTTCTTTCTATTGTTTTTTTCTCTATTCAGTGACTGAAAATGTGTTGTTTACCTACTGCTTCTAGTAGATAGCCTCTGAGTAGTACTACAAGAAACTTGTGGTGAATTGTCTTTCTTATGCAAGGTTCCCATCTCAAATCTTTTAGTTTTGTGTTCAAAAATTTAGTGCTTGTGTGGAGATGTGCAACATGATGAATGAGAGTAAACTATGCCCATTGAAGGCTGCGTGGGTGTTACCAAAGTTGATCTGTATCATTTTATTGTCATAATTAGTTCGCTTCGATGTAAGGTTGGTGTGACATTTCCTAGTCTTATAATGCTTCTCCATCGTTCATGTAAAATTGATTTTGAGAGAATTACTTTTGGTCAGGTCTGCTTCTTTGGTCTTGTTTCTGTCTATACTCAATTTTAGATGATTACACAACTTTTGCCACTCTTCCCACTGTTATTGACCAGTGACATGTTTGAGCAAATTTCAGTACATTCCTTTCAGTGTTTCATGGAGAATATCATTTGTAGCTTGAGTTAATGCATTTGACTTTAAAAATAACCTACATCAATTATGGAGCACGGAATTCATGAAATAGAAGAAATGAGTGTTGTAAAATTTAATATTGCAGATTATAATTCAATTTTTGAGGAGGTGGAGAATGTCATTGAATGTGTTACTTATAAAAATAAAAATATATAAACCTAAAAATGAACAGTCTTCACAAATTGATTAAATACTGCATATCTTTTCATACTTACAATAAAAATTCATGAAACAATCGAAGTTAACATACATTTGCTAAAATTCATAGAATCAGGTTCAGCATTAAAAGTATGCAGTAATTCCATTGCTAATCAAGCACCACAACTTCATGAACATGAGGTGCAACAGAACATAGAGGATTAATGAGGTTCATGAGGAAACTTAGAGTCAGATACAATTGTTCCTTTCTATTAGCTTTCACCTGAAAAGAACAAAACAAAAGATAAAAGCTAGGGAAAAAGTAACAAGCTTTGCAAAACAATACCCATGCACTTACCATCTCTTTGTTAAAAACAATGTCAGGTAAAGCAATGCTTGATAAGCCAAAGCGACCCAGATCAATTCCAAATGAATTATAGGTGTGAGTGTGAAAGTCTTTCCAAAATGTTGTGGTTTCAGCATCACCCCAATCTTGGTCACCTTTTGGAATGCTGCACAGAACAGTCCATGTAATAAATTTATTAAAGAGAATATGGTGAGAATGGAACAAGAATTCTGATGAGTAGTTGAAGAATTGCTCACCATTTCCAAAGCTCAGAGAAAATGTTGGCAGGAAGGGAAATATTCAAAGATCTTGATTTGACATTGTTCGGAGGGATAAACTTTAATTTTATATTATCAGTATCCTGGTAAGAAGAATTATCAAAAATGCCGACACATAATGTCCTTAGTTCATCATCACGAACATCAAATGGACTGACGAAACAATCATGAAGAAGCTGAAATTCCACATGAACCTGGTTCATCAATGCTGTAAAAGACAATAGATTGCATATTAAAACACAGCACACATTTGGAAAGAGAGTAACGCTTTAAATCTCAACAAATATCTAACTTTTTAAGCCCTGACACAGCATGATTGGTAAGAATATAGCATTGGCCTGCTGCATATTTTCTCTTGCTCCCCAAGAGAACAAAACTGCATTATATGCCATAGTTCGGTTTCCTTCTTCATTGATTTTGACGACAGTTATCTGAAATTATTTCAATAAAATATTAATAAATGTATTTTCAGTCCATTTAGAGCTATTCTCAGTTCCGATACAAACCTCCACTGCTTCATGGTCCACATCGTTTAATTTTAGATTTGGAAATGTTGTGTAGATGACTTCATACACAGTAGAACTGTCATCAGGCAACCTTGACATAAGTTTTTCTTTCAAACGGCGAGCATACCGTTTCATACAAACTTCACTGTAATCCATGTTAAACAAAGAGGACACTTGAAAGAAGTGCCATTGCTTGTTCAGAAATCCTGTGAAAGAGTGACAAAGAATTAAGTCAAAGTGTATTTTTCAGTTTCAGGGAAACATAACAGAGCTAACAAGAATAACTAACACACATACCTTTTAACTTCTTAATAGCCTTCTTCACTTGAGAATCACTTGTGTTGGGCCGGCAAAGACTCTGATTTCTACTTTTGAAAGGTGTGTTGTATAAAGTGGATTCTGTCCTTGGAAGTGTCTTCTCTCGAGAAACCTCTCTCGAAGATGTGAGAGTTCCTTTTGTTCTTAGTCGTTTGGGGGGTGAAGGCGATGAAAACGATGAAGCACTCATTTTCAGCTTTCACTGTATGAGACAAAAATTCAAAAGGTTGATTCCATAGTTAATGTCTCATAGGCGGAAGGCAAAACACTTTTTTTTTTTAACGAACAATCTGTACAAAATTGAAAAGAAACAAGAGCACTAATGAAAAACAAAATTGGTCTTAAATTATACATAATCTATCTGTAATGATAGATTATTGACAAAAAGTTCAGAATAAATACAAAGTATTCATATGAATCAAAATAAAATACCTTAACCAAAGTTCCAATGTACAGCCACACAAATATGGGAAACAAACATGATTAAGGTGTTGAAGGGATGAACGACACTATCAGTGCGAATGTCAAGAAATAAAATTTACGAAGTCGAAATTAAAAAGTTTCCGGGCAGACACACTATCGTTCACGACACACGCAAATCAACACAACACATTCAACTTTCCGAGTGACAACAATTTGAAATTTCGAGGACTGCGACCGGTATTTTGATACGCGGCTCATGATTGGTCGAATCCCCACTACCGCGCTACGTGCGCCAATAGCAGCACACTTTTCACACAGGTTCGGACTGCAATTCGGTCACGATGAGCGCAAATTCCGTCGTCGTATCTCTCACTTTGGAAAATTGTATAAAAATTTCCAAATGGAAGGTGAAAGAAGGCACGGTCGTGTCCGTGGGGCGCATTATTTTACTGTACGACCCAAGTCCGGGCAATGGGAAGGCCGAAATGCAGAAATTAAAAGCAACCGCCGTGGGCACTGTGCGCAAGCTGCTCGCGAAGGAGGGGGACGTTGTTCAACCAGGGTAGGTCTTTTTCACTCGATCTAGCCCTTGTTTCTGCTTTAATTCCATTTTCTGACTGTTTCGGCATGCAGCCTGTACCCTCGTTTCATGCTTTTGCCGCTTTTGTTTCGAGTTGTATGTTACTGTGCAGTAATTTCTGGTAAGCAACGTTGTTCTGAGAGGTTATGTTATTGTGTCAATCGTTCTGCTGTGCTGATGTCCTGCAAGGTTCTACCTTTTGTTTGCCTCGTGCTGACGAACATGATTTATGTTTAGCCATTACTATTGAGTTGTAGTTCTGACTATTTTATCTTCCAATTGATTGTTGAAGGTATTGTTCTCTTTAATGAACATTTGTAAGGCTTGGAGCGGCTTATGAAGGTTCTACGTTTTAAATTGAAATCAATTGCACAGCACAAATTGTTTTACGATCTTTAACCATTTCATTTTCTATTGCTGCACCTTTTTATTGACACTTTTTAAATAAAATTGGTTTACCTATTCCTCTTGCAGTGATCTCTACTTGGTTTGTTTTTATCAATTATTTTGCAGACATGCCTTGCTGGAGCTGGAAAAGTGCACCCATCCTACTGTTATGGCAGACATGTGCGCAGACTGTGGAGCAGATTTACGCAATGAAGACACTCCCAAAGATAATAATGTGGCTGTAGCTTCCATTCCAATGGTCCATAGTATTCCAGAACTGAAAGTTAATGCTGAAGTAAGTTCTGAAATGTTATTAATGAAACAACACTTCTTATCCCTGTTTGAATTTTTTAAATTATTTCTTTTAAATCTATCAGCAAGCTCAAATCTTGGGCAAAGCAGATGAGCAGCGGTTACTGGCCTCCAAAAAGCTTGTGTTGTTGGTTGACTTGGATCAAACACTCATTCACACCACAAATGACGACATACCACCTAATCTGAAGGTAAACTCAATGATATCATTAAGAGCCTAATGTATATGCAATTTTTGTAGTCTACAATCAGTAACCTATTTATTTTTTCGAACAGGACGTATTTCATTTTAGATTACATGGCAGTAGATCACCATGGCACCACACTCGGCTTCGACCTGGAACCAAAAAGTTCCTTGAGGAAATGAGCGCATTATATGAACTGCACATTTGCACCTTTGGTTCAAGAATGTATGCTCACAAGATTGCACAGTTTTTAGATCCGGATGGGCAGTACTTCTCTCACCGTATCCTCTCCAGAGATGAATGTCTTAGTGCAAACTCCAAAACAGCCAATCTTAAGTGAGTCCTTTATAAAATCATCTTTTCAGATCACAATGTGTAAATAGATAATTCAAAAATAAAATAATCTTTACTCTTTATTTTTTATTATCAAGGGCGCTTTTTCCCTGTGGAGATGATATGGTGTGCATCATTGATGATCGAGAAGATGTGTGGAATTTTGCAAATAATCTTATCCATGTGAAGCCATACCACTTTTTCCAACATACCGGTGACATCAATGCTCCCCCTGGATTGTCTAAAAAGGAAAATGATGATAAGGGCGCCTATGACTTTAACTGTCTCGGTAAGTGAATTTAATTCTTTAAAGTTGTGTATCACTCTTGTTGGAAATCTTTGTTGTCTGACTCATGGTTTTTGTGCTGTAGGAGATGGGAAGAAAATCAAAGATATACTTCGGCCAAATATTCCTGGTAAAGGTCAGGAATTGCCAAAAGATGGAGTGGATCTTGTCAAACAAAAGGGCCAAAATGCTTCTTCAGAGAATGAAGACGCTGTTAAACCTAGTCAGCTAGAGGAAGGAGCCAACAAAACCTCATCTTTTACAGATGAAAACTCAGAGCAGATTCTAGAAGAGAACAATGTGACAACCATAATAGAAGAGAAAAATGCAAATTCTACAAAAGATGAAGACAAACAGGATGTCAACAATGTCCAAAAAGAAGATAAGATCAAAGCAGATAATTCTGCATCAAATCTTTCCAGTGTGACAGATGAAGGTAAAGAGAAGATGGCTCAAGAAGAAAAACCTGACTCAGAGAAATCCTGTGAACTCCTGGAGGAAAATCAAATTAGTAAGGAAGAACCCATAAAATTAGAAGATGTGGTGGTGAAAGATGATGGAAAACTTATAGGAGACCAGTTGGAAGTCAAAGATCAGCCACCAGAACCTGACATTTTAAAAAACAACTCAAGTGATCTTAAAAATGTAAAGGCTGGTGAAGATTCAGCAATTAATACTCAGGATGAAATTGAAGTGCCAGATTATGATGATTATTTACTTTATCTTGAAGAAATTTTGAGAAGAATACATAAAGAGTTTTATGAAAAACATGCACAGGGAAAGCAGCCTGATATGAAGGAGATAATTCCTGCAGTCCGTAAAAAAGTTTTGGCATCCACAAATTTAGTTTTCAGTGGTCTTGTACCAAATAATATACCATTGGAAAGGAGTAGAGCCTATCAAGTAGCAATATCACTCGGTGCAAACGTCACCCAAGATTTGAAGAAAAATACTACCCATCTAGTTGCTGTGAGACCAGGGACAGCTAAGGTATAAACTTCTTGATGTGATGATTTTCAATTTAAAAATGTTTTTTTTTTTTTTTTTTTTTGTTTTTTTTTTTTTACTATAGAACAAAGTATGGAAGTGTCTTTTGCTGTCACCTATTACATGGTCTCATTTTTTTATCAGGTGAATTCAGCAAGGCGTATGAAAAATGTCCACATGGTCACTGCAGACTGGCTATGGGTTAGTGCAGAGCGATGGGAGCGTGTTGATGAAAAGGTTTTTCCTTTAGGACGAAATCGTGCAGGCACTAGACATCCTCCTGCTCACTGTGGCAGCCCAGAGCACACACCTGTAGGAAGAGAGAACCCCTCTGAAGCTTCAACAAGGTGAGGCTAATGGTCTGTTAAGTTAATTTATTTATGTGTGTACTATTGTTAAATTGGTAATTGTTGATTTCTAACAGCTCTGGGCGAAGCAGGACAGCAAGTGGTAGGTTTATGGATACCATAAACCCTCTGTTGTCGTTCTCATCGGCTGACATTGCTGATATGGACCAAGAAGTGGATGATATATTCAAAGACAGTGATAGTGAAAGTGACAGTGATGGTGGGGAAAGCTCAAAAAGGGAAAAAACTACAGGAATTCCGGAAATGGAAGTTGAAACCGAAGATGACAGCCAAACCACTGGTTTGCCTTCAGCCCCTACCAAAACCAAAGCAGAAAATGATGATTCTGAGTCAAGCAGCTCCTCTGCTGATTCCTTGTCTGGTAAGATATTTTTTTAAATTTCTGATGTAACTGTCATTCTTTTATATCAGATTGTCATTAAGATTTTCCTTTCCTGCCATCAGGTGAGCACCCCCATGGATGGGGCAAACACAACCTGAAGAGGAAGAACCCGGATTACAAACTTGGAACAGGCACAGCCACTGAGTCGGATGAGGAAGCGGATGATATGCCAAGTACCAAGTTCCGCAGGGGAGAAGCCTTACCGAGTGATCTCGATCTCGGTGAAAACGAGTCAGCAGATAGCCCTGGATCAGAGGACCCACCTGATGAGATTGATGATGGGGACTGGAACATGATGGGGGCAGCCTTAGAGAGAGAGTTCCTGTCATGAGTCACATTTGTCATAGCAGTGTTTCTAAAATTGTACCAATTTGCCTCTATGACTAGAATTATACTTTTAAAAACCAATCAGTGTTCTTGGAAGCTAGCAGCAATTAATTTATTTTGATGATTCTACTTTGGTTGTGATTGCAACTGTGTTCCTTAGGTCTCCTTTAATGCTTTTGGGTCTATCTCTGTTCTTAATCTATATGTCATAACACCAAAGAATCTTCAGGTAAATGATAATACATGATGAACTTCAAACATTCTTACAAAAATGTAGGAAAAATAAAACAACTTAAAAAAAAATTCATTGCAAACAAAGGGGAAACTAAGTGAAAGAGCTTGACTAAAAATTCTTATGGTTGTAGGTTGACTGACTGATAGTTTACTCTTAAGGGTTAAGGTTGAGTTTGATCAGTTACTCATTGTAGATCTCATTGTAAATGTGTTTTGTTGCCGTTTCTCTTTCTCAGCACAAAATTTGTGTTTGAAAAGCCCTGGGATATACATAGGTAATCCTATCACGTCTGTGATTTTTAACTGTTGTACCAACTTTTGCAATTAGTCATGTAGTTTTCATACTGCATGATTCTTCTTAGTCTATCTTTTGTAGATCTGTAGAAGATTTACCTGTTATAGTGCATTTTCTTCTGTGCTTCATTCTTAATATTTCTGTTTCTACTTTTTTTTTGGATAAAAATTCATGCATTTTACCATCATTTGTATGCCACTGTGTGGCTACCTTTAAAGTACCTTGTGCTTCTGGGCGTTTCAAACATGCAAAAGTGGAAAGTGGCCTCCCTCTTAAATCATTTCTTTAGCTTTCTTACAAAACATTTTATCAGATAGAAACTAGGCTTACTCAGTTCATGATTTTAACCAGTGATTTACATAGGCATAGATTGTAAACTACAGCTCAGTATTATAGCTGTAACAGAGAAAAAAAAGGGAGTCTAGTATTTTTAAATATTGATGTGATTTTTGTAGATTTTTTGTTGTTACTTTGCAATAACATATATTTTTGACCTGCGTGCTAGCCAAGGTATTTTGATCAATAATACAATTTAAAGTTGCGTGTGTCAATGAATTGTATATCATAAGAGAAGTGCATGCAGAATTGCATGGCAAAATGTGATTCTCTGCAAAGATAGAAAAAGAATTTGAATTTGTCCAAAATCTTGTCTGCCGTTTTTTATGGCACTTTCTGTTCAAAGTGCACATTGGGTGCACTTGATTTCCTGTTTCATGCAGGCTAGTCTGCAGGCTAGTCAAGCTACTTCTACATCATGTCCATTACCTTTGTTCCTTTTATGCTCTTACCCCATTTTCCCCCCTAAATGTAACTTCAAAGCCTTTGTTTTGGAACTTTACCAACACTATTTATTAACGGTATTTTGAAAAGTTTGTTCTTGTTGGAAAAATAGTTTCAATTGGATGGCAGCCTTTTTTCTGTCAGTTTTGTACTGTTAATGGTCTGTGCCTTTAATGTTTGTTTTAATTTTTTCCATTAGTGTAGTCTGTTTTCTGGACATAGCTCTTGAAATCCTCTAAGAAGTAAACACATGTGCCAGCTGATTGGTTTGTACTTGTTCTTTTACCACCCTTTTTTTTTTTTTTTTTTTTTTTTTTTTGCTCAAACTTTGGAAGTGGTCCACTACTTAAATCTCTTATTATTATATTAGCTAGTTAGGCACTGCTGAATAATCTTTAAGGCAGTGCTCGCTTAATTACAAGAGAAAAGAGCAATAACGTGATGAGAGTACAAATAGGCTAAATGCATTTTTCTAACTTATACCTGTTTGAACCCTGTTGTATTTAGGTTTCATTAAATTGTTTCAGCTGGCTGAATGTCATGTTATTATTATTCATGCCTGTAAGTTCAAAGACAACAAATCCCAGAACTCATTTTACATCCTTTTTTTAATAATCCACCAGTTTTCAGTTTTAACACAAACATCTAGATCTAAACAAAATATTTTATCAGGACAAAAGGTTTGAACTAGTAGTAACCTAAATGGCATACTTCTGATCCTTGCCATCATCGTTATACTTAATGTATGTTTCCCGATGCGTCAAATCCTTTTTATCTTCCTGCCATCCCCTAGGAGGAGCCTTATCATACTGGAAGCGGGTTGGTAGAGGACCATAAAGTTCTGTTTCAGCATCTTGACTTTCCCTGTAATAAAATACGGGTGTAAGGCATAGCCGAAATAAAAAGAAAAAATATCCTATTGAGTAAGTTCAAGTTCAAGTTCATTGAGTAGGGGTACCCCTATAAATGATGGAGTCTAGAACTTACCGATAATGATTAAATGTAACTTTTTTGCCAGTAACTGGGTCTGTAACATCTCCAAGGGGATAAACTACTCTGTCAACCTCGTGAGTGATTAGAGTGGTCAACTTTTCTGGTAACTTTTTAAGGAGAACTGAATCTCCTGTTTTGCAAATTTTTTGTGGATCATGAGCGTATATGTACTCGTACTCTGGGAAATACTGAAAAAAATATCATAAATTTCAATTAAAAAGAACTAACATAGAAGAGAGCATAACCTTAAACGAGGGCATGTACCAAGAACATAAGACAGTTCCGCTTACCATGTGTAAATACGTGTCTAGAACAAGTCTCCTAACTTTGAATTTGGATGCATTAGTTTTGACACATGGTACACATGTCCCGAGAAGTAGAGAAGCTCCTCTAGATACAACTGCTTTTGCTGCCATTTTCCGTATAACCTACACTACACGCAGCGCAGTGTCGGCTGCTAGTGTGTTGTGAATAGATTCTTCTTTTTTTCTTCTTCGTTCTGGCAGGCCCCGCGTAACTTCAAATGCTTCAAATTGCGAACTGGCGGTCATTTAAAACCCTATACTGATTTCGTTCTCACACAAACTATATTAATGTACCTAAGCTAATGAACGGAGTTTGAATCAAATCAATCATGCAGGGTACAGAGAACTCAGGGTGCTTAAGGGAAGTCCAAGTCCAGGCCGCGTTCAACGGGCTTTCCCCCAGGTATCCGAAACAAAAATAACAGAAGTACGAGGCATTGAAACGGCATTAAGAGCTTAGTCAAGGCCCCTTGGTTGGACTTCGTGTTGCTGTTGTTGTTTGTTTCTTTTGTAAGTGTGTTAAGTCTGGTTAAGCCTCCAACAAACAGGAAGTGTCTGACGACAGTCCACCATGAGTAACGACAAACCCCCAGCGGCAGGACATAGGTATTTCCTCCGAAGTCGTGCTACTCAGAAGCCACCAAGCGTTTCTTCGGCTCTTACGGGGTAACAAATTTCGTCACGTTTGCGTGTCTCGTGCCCGTAGCAGAGTCTCCCCAAGTTGTTTCCTACGTCGTTTTCACAGAGATGAGCGGCTCGACGCCGGCAACGCCGTGGAGGCCGTCCCTGACGACAGCGGGGCCACGGGCGGGGGCGCAGCTTCCCGGCAGACTCCGGGGCCACAGAGCGGCTTGGATCGGCAGTCCGTCGACAGGGGCGCGGAGCAGAAGCAGTCGAATGCGGAGGCCGCAGCATGGCGTCGTACCTCTGCAGTCACCGGCCCAGTCGCGGGTTCGAGTCTCGGCCGGGGCGCAGCATCGGTATCCCGGCAAACTGTTGGATCGGCAGCGGGGTCCGCGGCGGGCTCCGGCTCCACCCGCGGCTTTTCTCGCGAACATTCGGGTGCGACTGTCGTGGACGTCGGCGGGGTCAGCAGCAGGGAAGCCCTCGGGGGAGCCGCCGTGGAGAAGACTGAGAGCCGTCAATCTGCACTCGGCGCCACCCCCGTCGCCGCGGCCTCCACCGCCCGTTTGGCGGAGGGCTCGCGTCACGCGGTCACGTCGGCGGCCGGGTCGCTACGCCCCTCAGTCACCGCGGGCCTAGGAAAGGAGTCCCGTCACACAGTCACCTCCGCGGCCGGGTCTCTACGCCCCTCAGTCACCGCGGGCCTAAGAAAGGAATCCCGTCACACAGTCACCTCGGCGGCCGGGTCGCGTCACCCCTCAGTCACCGCGCCCTTCACTGGGGACCCCAGAACGGAGTCCCGTCACACAGTCACCTCGGCGGCTGGGTCGCAACGCCCCTCAGTCACCGCACCCTTCACCGCGGACCCCAGGAAGGAAGCTTCCAAGACGACGGGTTCGGTGTCGGCATCCCCTGGGGCATCGCGCAGCCGGTCCGCTGGGACTGTGGTGGAGATGGCCTCCAATGTGCCAACCGCCGCCACCTTGACGGCCACCTCGGTGGTCTCCAGTGCGGCAGTCCTCGGCGACCCGGCTAGTCACGCGTCGGTGGAAGTGTCCACGCCCGCTTTGCCCGGAAAGTCGCTGACGAAGGTGGTGGCTATCGCGAGTGGAGCTGCCGTGACCTCCGCTTCGCCGGGCGCTGCGTCCTCGTCCTCCAACACGGCCACGTCGACGTCGACTGGAGCGAGCCCCTCGCCGGCCGGCGACGCGTCCCCGGACCAGGGAGTGACGGTGACGGTGACGACCACGCCCTCCTCGCGGGGCAAATCGGGGCGCAGCGTCGAGATCACCATGACGCCTACAGTGTACGACGAGACTGACATGGGCAGGGGGGACTTCGCGGCGGCCAGGCCTGGGTCCTCGACGACGCCCAAGCCGTGGCGACTAGAGCTGGCGCAGGGAGTGTTGTCCCCCAAGCCCCCCAAGCAGGCCGCCGGCATGGAGGTGGCCGTCAAGGGGCCTGATCACGTGTCGCACGTGAGGTGCGTGTCAGATTCCACGTTTCATGCCATGTCTAACGCCGCATTGTGCACCCGTACGCTTCGCTGATACCCGGTTCAGAGTGCAGGACGGCAGGGTGGTGGAGGCGGAGCAGCCTGTGGCCCCAGCAGCGCCAGTGGCACCAGTGGGTCCGCGCCGCCCCGGGCCCGGGCAGGCCAGGAGGGGGCAGAAGTCGCCCTTCACCATGAGGCTGCGGATGGCCCTGGGCGACGCGGGGCCGCCGGAGCCACCTATCCCAGCGCAGCTCATCGAGCACGTCGACAAGGTCCTGCCCCCGGGACTGCGCAGCTTGCTCACGCCGCTGCAGAACCACGCCGACCTGGGAGGTCCGGGGACCGGGCAATGCGGGGAACATGAGCGCGCACGAGCGTCAAGCCGCGCTCTCCACCCACCGGACCGGGTCCCTGTGTTGCAGCCATGGCCACCTGCGCCGCGACCCTGGACAGGCATAAGCGCCTCAGCACCGCCCTGGAGGCCCTCCAGGCACTGCAGGCGGGCAAGCAGCAGGCCGTCGAGCTGGCGACGCCGACGCCGCGGAGCAGGTGGTGAGGGACTTCCCCGGACTTCCCCCACAGCCCTCGCTGGAGCTGCTCTAGGGCTCTGGGCGTAAGTGCGTGTTCTCAGCGTGTGGCGTCGGGACGGCCGCGGCGTGCATGTGCAGGCTTGGAGCGAGTCGCGGTGGTGGCGGCCTCGGGCAAGGCCTCGGGCAACGCGGTCGCTGGCGGCGCGGCCTCTTCCCCCTGTTCGGCCTGCTGCCGCGGAAGCCGCGCCCCATCCCCCGTCTGCCCCCCAAGCACCGGCCGAACCTGGCCACGGTGGAGAAGTGCCTGTTCGACGCCCTGGCGGACGGCCTCGGATTGGACGCGGGTCCGGCGTCTCGGTCGGCATGCGACTCCCAGACGAGCCTCGCGTTTGCGCCCCAGTTGCGCTACAGCAGCCAATGGGCGGGGGACGCGTGCCGCATCCTGGCCGCCCACATCACGAGGAGCCTCAACGGGTTGGACTTGAAAAGGTGCGCGCTCGCCGCTCGGTCGCGTGTGTCCTCTTGTTCAATAACGGAATTCAACGAGTTGCCTGTGCCCGTGTTTCAGATATAAAAGTGCCTGCGTCGTTCGAATAATTGAGAAGTGTCATCAAGGGTTGTGCAGCCACTTCGCCGCGCTTTGGGACGAGAACTGTGACTGTTTTTGCTGCGTTCCTTATGAGACTGACAGTTTTATAGCATATGCTACAATTGTTCTGGTTCATTGGGACTAATGAGCTCTTTAGTTGTTGAATGAGGGTATATTGTACATAGTTCATTGTGTAAGTGACAAGAATAAAGGACTGAAACAACATTCGCATTTAAGGTTTTTTTTGGGAATTTATTTCTTTTTTGTTTGAGAAAGTGCTTACAGGGTTACATTACAACCACATGGACATTCATGCCACATTGAAATAAAACTTCTTAAAAATGAAATTGTTGATCCGAGTAAGTAACACCCTGGTAAAAAAAGCCAATATTCTGATGAAAATTGCACAATTTGAAAAGACATTTAAATGCTTGTTCTCTCCCCTTCATAATGAATTCTTTGTTAAAATCTATTTATAATAGAAAAATTATATGAGAACTTTCAATGCTATGACAACAGCACCAGCTGGCAACCAATCAATGAGTGTTACAATTTCAGATTGCCTGCCAGCCTGGCCGACATCATGATTCCACCTAAAAACACTTATATAATCTAACTGTACAAGTCATCATCTCCGTCATCTTGGAAAGTACCGCCTTGGTCTCCACCAGTGCCACCACCAGATGTGTTTCCTGGTGCTGAGTTGGGGAACCTTAAAAACAAAGAAATAATATAAGTTTTCTATAAAACCACCTCCTTACTGAAACTTGGATATGAAATGCACTTACCTGAAATTGGTTCCAAAGCCACGGGATTGTTGGAGGGTTTGTGAGAACATCTCATACTTGCGAATATCATTATCAGATACAGAGCGCCTAGCAAAGCGCATGGCCTCTTCAAAGTGGGCTTTTGTGATTTCTGGAACAGGGTCTTCTTCATCCATCTGAAAAAAAATAAAAAAAATTGAAGCCATGAATAAACAAGCAATGACATAGGTATTTTAAATCAATCTTAAACAGTGGAATCAATGTTCTACACTCACATCCATAGCAGCATTCTGGTTAGCAGCTCTTTCACGTTCTCTCCTGATTTCAGCTTCAATACATTGACGAATTGCCAATTTACAGGCTCGCTGGCAGATTTCAGTCAAGTCAGCACCAGAGAACCCATGCGTGACCTTGGCAATGTAAATCATATCAACGTCAGGGGCAACAGGAGATTTGCGCATGTTTGCCTTAATAATGGCTTCCCGAGACTTCTCATCAGGCAAGGGAATGTAGATCAACTGATCCAGACGTCCAGGACGCAGAATGGCAGGGTCAATGATGTCTGGCCTGTTTGTTGCACCAATGATGAAGACGTTCTTCTTGGCTCCCATGCCATCCATTTCTGTTAGAATCTGGTTGATAACCCTGTCTGCAGCACCTCCAGCATCACCAACGTTACCACCTCGAGATTTAGCAATAGAGTCCAACTCATCAAAGAAGAGGACACAAGGGGCAGCTGATCTAGCCTTGTCAAAAACATCTCGGACATTAGCTTCAGATTCACCAAACCACATGGTCAGCAGTTCAGGGCCCTTGACAGAAATGAAATTGGCCTGGCATTCATTGGCAATAGCTTTAGCCAAAAGAGTTTTACCACATCCAGGAGGTCCATAGAACAAAACACCACGGGATGGCTGCATTCCGAACTTGAGGAACTTGTCAGGATGTTCCACAGGATATTGTACCAGTTCTTGAAGCTCTCGCTTGACATTTTCCAAGCCACCAATGTCCTTCCAGGTGACATTGGGAACTTCCACAACAGTCTCACGCAGTGCACTTGGGCTGCTCTTGCCCATGGCATATCTGAAGTTCTCCATGGTCACAGCAAGAGAGTTCAAGACCTCAGCATCAATTTGATCATCATCAAGATCAATGAGATCCATCTTCTCACGGATTTGCTGGAGAGCAGACTCTGAGCAAAGGGAAGCCAAGTCAGCACCCACATGTCCATGGGTCTCAGCAGCAATTTGTTCGAGGTCCACATCATCAGCAAGCTTCATGTTCTTAGTGTGGATACGGAGAATTTCAAGACGACCAGTTGCATCAGGGATACCAATGTCAATTTCCCGGTCGAATCTTCCAAATCGACGAAGAGCACCATCAATAGAGTTGGGCCTGTTGGTAGCAGCCATAACAATAACGTGAGAGCTTTGCTTCAGACCATCCATAAGTGTTAGCAGTTGAGAGACAATGCGCCGCTCAACTTCACCGTGTGTCTTCTCTCGCTTGGGAGCAATAGCATCCAATTCATCAATAAAGATGATGGAAGGAGAGTTTTTGTCAGCCTCTTCAAAGGCCTTCCTTAAATTGCTTTCAGACTCTCCAGCCAGCTTGCTCATGATCTCCGGACCGTTGATAAGGAAAAAGAATGCTCCAGTTTCGTTGGCAACAGCTCTGGCTATCAAAGTCTTACCCGTACCGGGTGGGCCATAAAGCAAGATTCCTCTGGGAGGCTTGACACCAATAGCCTTGAACAGACTGGGATGACGAAGAGGTAGCTCCACCATCTCCTTGATCTGGGCAAGTTGTTTCCTGCATCCTCCAATATCATCATAACCAACTGCATTCAAAGCTTCCTCCTCCTCTTCTCTCTTGATTGGATCACCATCACAGTGGATGATAGTGTCAGGAGCCACAATACAGTAAGGCGATGGGTCAGTTTCCACCACTTTGAATTCGACAGCTCTCATACCTCCTCGGACAATGAAAGCATCATCTTTGTGAATGGGCCTGTATGCTTCTAGGAAATACGGCTTAAGATAAACTTCAAATAGGTTGCCTGTCAAGCCTTCAACTGTGTCGTCAATGGGAAGTACATGGATTCTCTTGCCGTATTTTACATCAGGGCAAGGCTGGACTGACACTACATCGGACAGGCGAACTCTCAGGTTGTTGCGCACCACACGGTTCATGCGGATTTTTTCATCAGGTACTGTCTCATCAGCCAAGACAATGCATACGGTTTCTTTTCTACGTTTTCCCTTCAGAAGAACTGTATCTCCTCTAAATAGCTGCAGCTCATCCATTTTGGCCTGTAACAAAAGTAGAGTGTAAATAGAGGGCTCAGACAAAGTAAAGCCAAAAAACAATTAAGGTGAATACATGAGGACTTTAAAGCAAAATAAAATCTTACCTGAGAGAGAGCCACAACCGAATTGTCATCGTTGACAGCCTCCTCAACAAGAAGCCTGTTTGGGCGGTCCTTGCGGCGCAAAATTGCGGTAGCCAAATCATCAGGACTATAGTAACAAACAAAACAAAAAATGCTGCATTAGTATCAAATATATTTACAAGTGAAACCTCAGGGCCTGTAAAAAATAACAATTTTAACATTTCTTCACAAAAAGTCCTTTTATCATCTTGTACCTTTCTTTCTTTTTAGGATCTTGATTCAACTTAGTGGATGGCTTTGCCGGTAATTTATTGGAAACAGAATCCTTTTTGGATTTGGGATCAGTTGATTTTGAAGGTGGTAAATTTGCCTTATCAACCCTTTTGGGAGGGGCTGAATCGCGTTTGCCTACCATGATCACCTTGATCAAATTGACTGGTGCAACTGCCTCTGTGTTTGAAGGGTAAGAGGTCCACTACAGAAGAAATTCAAGACTGTTGGCTTGGAGCCAAGAATGCCAAACACAAGCTGCCAATCTAACAGCAACCAGGTCTCAGACCCACAAAACAAAAACAAGTTTAAACTAATGCAGAAAATAATTTAAAACATCTTGAAATTTGATCTTTTGCCAGAAATGATGAGTGACACAAGGCAAAATCAATTCAGCTGGCAAAAACAGGTTAACTAACCTTAATGCTAATAGAACAGTGTCACTCATTCTCATCGCAACCACTACCTGGTTCATTCAGCCGTTCGAATTGTGGCGAAAGGATTAACTGGACTGTGCTTGACAGATACGGCTGTCATGATGGGCACTGAATACAACGCATGAAGGTAGGGTAAGTAGTGGCTGATCAATATGGTGAATTATTGTGTAGTTCAAGAATCACCTAGATGCACACTCAAGTTTAATCTGGGCTGATAACAGCTGAGATGAATGGGCTCAATTAGTATAGAGAGAATCAACTGCCATCTGCCTAGGTAACAAAAAGTGATCAGAATAGTAAAGTAACAAGATTTGTTCCCAGTAGGATTGAAAAATACAGGAACCAGCAAATCGGAAAGAGTTATTTCACCATTAAAGGGGTTAAAGGCTATTCCCCCTCAGCCAGCAGCACACAATAGATGCAACCGGCCGCGTAAAATAATTGAGGGGATTCAAGAAACTTATAGACACAGAGGATTCGGAGAAAGAAAAACTTGAGGAACATTCAAAAATGGTGCAAACAGAGATGAAATTGCTCAAAACATCCGACATGATGACAATGTACTTTTGACGGCAGGCCAGGCGTAGGCTAGAGTCATTCATTTTCCCGAGGCGATAGAAATGAGCGTTCTGCACTCAACTTGCCGATTTACTCAAAACAAGGAAGCAGAAACCATGAGAAACTCTTTCAGTACTCACTTCTTTCCGTCAGCCATGGTGTTTTTTCTAGAAAACGCTTAGAATTCCAGGACTAACGTCACCAACAGCCCGGCAGAAACCACAATGACTGCGATCAGCCGCACGGACAGACGTTGCCGCTTGGTGCACTCAGAATCTGTCGACGCACGGGGGGCGTTCCTTTTCCCTGCCCAAATTTCGTTACTATTTAACTAATTTTTGGGAATATAATTCGTGGTAGGGTTCTAAATCCTTCAATACAGGCATGATAAATTTCAATTAAGGTTCGAGAAACGTCGATAATCGACATAAGTGCAAAATGATGCACGTTAACGTGTTTTTTAAATCACTCTTCTGGAGACGCTTTCTCCAGGACATCTCCTCCCACCGTGATTACTCCATGATCGTTCTTTAGGAAATGACGTGTCCCCAAAATTTCAGGGTATAAAAACTTGTCTTTATTATTAACAGGTCTAAAAGCATCCGCACTAATATTAAAACCTCCATTTGGATGCAAAATCAGTTATCTTATTTATAATTTTCGGCATTCTTTTACGTCATTTTGACCAGATCTGACCGTTTGGAAGTTACTCTAGTGCTTCATTTTTGTCTTCTTCTGTTTACAAGAAAAGGAAAGACAGACGGAGATTGACAAACATCCGAGATGGCTGGAATTAAAGGTACTCTAATTATATTGAACATTTAATACAGATGAAGGTGGCATTGTAATGCACTCATATCGAGTGTGCAAATTTTCGTCCGTCTCCCGTCAATATGCTGCTGTATTTGTGTTGTTGGTTTTGCAAGCAATGAAAGAGGTACTCTCTTTTACACCTTTCATACTGTTTGTTTGACAGAAGATTGCCTTCTATTCATTCTGTGTAAACAATACAATTGCCATTCCGTATCCCGAAATCAAAAACGGATTTTGAAAATGATATCTTTGTTGACGACTTTTCTGAAGCTATTCTGCTTTCAGTGTGCTCTTTGATATAGCCTAACATTTTGTTACTATGGTGCTTTGGCTCCTTGAACTCTTTTCTTGCATAACATCCTTGTTCAAAAATTTAATGAGTTTATTACTTTATTTGTTTCATGTTCTGGTTAATCTTCATTCCGATTGTATCAGCGTAAGTAGTGTTTGTATACCATTGCCAGCATATGGCCTTTGTGTTGATAAATGTCATCAAATATTAAATAATCTTTTTGGTACTTTTCTTTGTTTAGGCTGGTAGCGTTAGCCTTTGCTGGATCCATTGGTATGACCTTTGTCATACTTGGCTGTGCTCTACCTCAATATGCGTAAGTTCTTCTAAATTTTTTCAATATTAGCCCACAGGGATGGCACAAGTCAAAATCAAGTCAGAATCATGCTTCTGCCCTCCCTGTGCCTTTGAAAAGTGGATGTTTTGGTACTATGTTATAAATTAAATTTACCAAAGTTTTTATGATTTCTCTGTTTTCAGAGTTTGGTGGCCTTTCTTCGTTGTTCTTCTCTATCTCCTAGCACCAGTTCCAACACTTATTGCACGTCGATATGCAGAGGATTCCGGTGGTTCAGGGGGCCCATGTCTTGAATTTTCCATTTTCATTACAATGGGATTTATTGTGTCTGCATTCGCCCTTCCAATAGTACTTGCAAGATCTCCTGCTGAAAGTCCTGTGGTAATTGCCTACCGTGTTTTATTTTTATTCAAACAAAGAATTAAACCTAATTGAGCCAATCATAGTTCATGTGTTTCCCTGTTTGTATCAATATATAAGTTGATTTTTTTCATTTTCCAGATTCAAATGGGAGCCTGCTACTTGACACTGGCTGGTAATGTGGTCGTGTTCCTTACTTTACTTGGTTTCTTCTTAACATTTGACCAAGAGGATGCTGACTACAGTATGTGGTGAAGTTTGATACTTACTGGCATTCCCTGCCACATGGAATGTTGTGGACAATGAGACTGATTTTAGGTACAGAAGAAACACTTGTGGTTTTTTTGTTCTTTTTTAATGGTGTCAGAAAGCTGCTTTCTCTCGATAGCCTGGCTTTTTATACAATCTAAAATGAAAACAAGGCCACTCAGCACATTTCTGCTAGTATAGTATGTGTCACAGCAGTTGCTTATTTTACCAGTGCTGCCATTTTTACTGTTAGGAATAATACATGTTAGTTGTCCTTTCTTTTATACCATTGTTGGTTTCTTTCTTTTTTTGTTTATAAATCCTAAAACAACTAGTGTAGCACCCTTCTCTGCTTCTTTCTGTTTTGTAGCTGAGTGCCAACGGACGCTGAAATAACTTATGAAAAGTCTTGTACATTGAACCCTTACTAATATGCTAGGTAGAAGTAGAGATTTAATGGGTCTATATTTCTATCTGTGGTTTCCTCTTTCTATAATGGTTGAAAATGTATGACTGTGTAATTATTGCTGTTTTATACACCAATTTTTGTGGTTCTGTTAATCCAATGCTACATTGATGTTGATCAAGAAGATTTGTATGACTCTAAATTTGCATTTTGATGAGCATATATGTACAGTATTCATACCCTAAAGACATGCCCCTATTAAATACCAAATATGTCTTGAATTTTTAAGAAATAGGCACTTAATTTAATGCCTTGCTTGATCACATTTTAATAATTATCAACTGTATACACTTTTATCTTAGTTTACACTCCAGATTCAGTGTGATTTACTCAAGCCCTGGTGATCTATTAAATTATTTACTATTTATGAATTGTGTTTAATTTCCAATTTCCTGACACAACATCAAGTAAAACAATGAAATTTGACAAATTTTGATTTTATTTTTAACCAATCAGGGGATGGAGTGGGGGACTTGTCACCTTTCACAATAGGTTGTTTTCAGTTAAGGAAAGCTGATGACATTCAGGTAAACCAACCAAAACATTGTGGGATTACCTGACGCCACTTCACAGTTGGCTATAATGTTGTAAGGCCGGCAGGACGACCTCATTACATTAGTGTGCAAGAATTTTCAAACTGGGTTAAATAACAATGCAATAATAGATTTTTTTGGTAAATTTATTGTGGAGTATACATTAAGGCTCTAGAACTTCATTCTGTGAGGGTACTGGCTTGTTTTAAGCCCGAACATTGTCCTCAGGTAGTTAGCCATCACTTTCCTTTCAGGGTGCTTCTTCAGAATCTGGAGCATCTGCTTGTCAATAGCTTCCTGATCCTTCTTCCTTTCCTCAGAGGGAGTGTATTTCTGAAAGCAAGAGATCATTAGAAAACCATTCATGGAATGTCCCCTGAATAGTCATCAGCAGCCTGGACTTACCTCGGCCTTCTTGGCAAAGATTTCACCTTCTTCCTTCTTTGCCCTCTTTTCACGCTTGCGCTTGAAATAGTCATCATTGAGCTTTTCAGGCACCTGAAGAGTGGAGATGTCGAGCTCGGTGCTTGTGGCAATGAGGAAGTTCGGGTGCACTCGGCGCAGAGGGCATCCGTTAATGTGGAAGGGTCCTGGAAAATGGAAATATTTTAGACCAGACTTTCATAAACAACGAGATCACAAGAGACAACTGAAAACTGAAACTAACCATTGACAAGAGCAAGACCACTCTTCAAAACCTTCAGGAGAACAACACGCTTGCCAGCATGACGGCCAGCCAGAACGATGCAGATGGTGCCAGGGGTAAGTGATGGCCTGGTGTACACCTTGTGCTGCTTCTTTGACTTGAAATAGTTCTTACGGATACTGCAACAGAGAAAGAGCTGTTAATAAACACACACGAGCTAAGAAAGAAGAGTAACTGAAGTGCAATAGAGATTTGTTGAGAGTAAAGCACATTAGGTGACATTGCCAGTAGTCACAAACATTGAACATTGAGGATAGGGTGATAGGAAAATTTAATAGAAGTCTTGAACCACATTGGATAATTACTCAATTCCTTAGCATCTCATCTTGAACACTAAAAGATTGTGTTCCAACTAAATGAGGTGCATCAATAAAATTTAGTAAAATCTACATGTTGGTGGGGTGAAATAGAGATTCAATGTAAATCTTGAACCACATTGGATAGTCCATCATTACTCTAGCATCTCCGAACATGAACACTAAAAATAGGGTCCACACAACAAAAAGAGATGCACCATTAAAATTTGTGAAAAACTACATGTTGGTGGAGTGAAATAGAGATTCAATAGGGGTCTTGAACCTCATTGGAATCCATCATTGTTCTAGCACCTCTACATTACATACAGCCAGCAGACTGTACACAATGAAGATAGAGGTGCTTCAAAGCGAGACTGAGCAACATGACACTTACGCAGCAGCTGTGGGGTAGTAGTTGGGCCTCTTCTTCAGCAAGACCACTCGGGAGCCTCCGTTCTTGTCACCACCAATGGGCTTCACAACAGTGAGAGCCTTCTTGGGCTTAACCTACACAACAAACAAGGTTGCATTAGATATAATAGGTACAGAAGGAATTGAGGGGAAAACATTCTTTGCGGAATACATTTTACGGCAGCTTACAGTTTTAGGGGTAGTCTTCTTGACAAATTTGCCAACACCCTTCCTGGTGTACATAACACTCCTGGAGAAACGGTAGACGCCAGGGCTCAGCTCCTTCTGACCCCTGTCCCTGGGCTTCTTGCCGGCGGGGGCCTTCGCGGCTGTAGTGGCCACCATCTGAAACATTACATTTTACTGGTGAGAAACATACCACTGACGCAAGCCTTCAAGATAACTTGACTAATAAAAAATTAGTGACAAAATTAAAGGGACCTAAATATTATCTCTCGTGGCAACAAATACACTCAAAAGAAGCCGAGAAATGTACACACAGCAAGGAAAGTTTAGTGAGGCTTGAGGGGTTATGTTATGTAGACGAAGGGGCAAATGTAAACAACTCAAATTCTGAGCGTTTAAGTCGACCTGTCTAAACCCGAACAAATTCACAGCCACTTGTAATTAATGCGTTCCACTAATTTCAGGGTATGAAGCGATAAAATGTCTATCCACGTAAACATATACAACGGTGTGAAACAGTTCGGAGCTCATGCCGCTGGCACGCAAGCCGGCTGAAATTACATTATAAAGGCGAGAAAATTTTGACTTTCAAAGGCAAAGACGATTACATAAATCGTAATGAACACACATTAAACTGAGGTCGGTAGAATTCCACCTAAATAACGATTGATGATTAAAGATGAAATTCCAGTACTCACATTTCTCGTGGATTGCCTCAGAAAGAAATACAAAAACGGAAGAGCCTTCTAAAAGACGGGCAGAAGACCTTGCAGTGGAGGCGGACACCAAGCAGGGCAGCCAACCTGCTTGAAAGTAAAAATATCGGAGTACGTGACCTACTAAGCCAATTTGAACAAATAGAAATAAGATTAAACTTCAAATTCAAAAAATGAGAGCGTTGGAATAATCAGATTCCTGTGAACCTGCTATACGCTAATGTGATCAGACAGTTGGCAATGCCACTGTATCATAAACATAGTCTGTACATATGGCGTCTGCTGTGATACCCAATCTGTCTGCTGATGGTTATACCCGTTTTAACGATGAAACTATCAACCTCAGCAGGAATCTCCGTTCAGACCAGGATGGTAGAAACATTTTTCTAAGCTCTATAAAAATTTGATGTCTCGTTTACTCTAAGAAAAGCAATATAGGGATGGACGTTGTATTCAGACTTCTGGGCTCGGTCTCTCGTTCCTGTCAGTTTTTGTTTATAAATGCACAGTTCACACCGTAAACTTATTTAATCCTAACAATTCGACGTTCGGATCAGTGATGTCGCTCTTTTATTTCAGTATAGTTTGTTTTTGTCAACTTTTGGTGCGTGCCTCCTTGGCAAAAACCCACAAGAGAGTGATGGGTGGTGGATCCACACTGACATCCTTGTGACATCATTATTGTCATGAGATCATGGCCTCCAGGCAAACTGGTTTATAGTGGTTCACAGGGTCAATTCAATCATTCTGATTTCCCTTTAGAACTCTTTCGAATATAGTAGTAAAATACATCCAGCCTTTCTTTAGCTGTTTTGTGTTTATTTTTTTTATCATTTTGCTGGGTTTTATTTCTTATGAATGAATTATAATGTCAGATATGTCTTCAGAACAAAGTTTTCATGCACCTTATTTGGCAGGACATGAAATCAGCTCTGGAGCGGCAGAAATGCACTCGACAGCTGATGAGCAGGATCTTCCCAACATGATTGGAAGCCAATCAAGCTTAAATCATGAATATGTGACTGATGGCGTGTCAGGGGAGATGCGAATTCTGTCTGATCCAAGGGACGTTGGAAAATCATGGGAAACCAATTATCATGAAGCAGCAATATTTTTAGAGGTTTGTAATAAATATTTTTCTGTAAACCTTTGTGATGGGTCAAAGGGTTCTGTCCTTTTTCAATGTTCATATTTTTCCTTCGGAATCTTTTAGGAGGGTGCCAACAATGAAAAGTTTGACTCACATCCTAGTGACCCTAAAGCAGTCCCTGCTTATCTTCTGGTCCATAACAATTGGTACTATGGATTGGACCTATTCACATCCTCAGTTTTGTTAGCACTGGCCCTCGGGGAGGATCCTGCAGTCGCTGCATTTAAAGTAAGGTTTCACTAATTGCTTTTTAATATTTTACACAATGACATAGTTCTGTTAAACTCAGTGAATGATGGGTCTTTATGACAACAGTTACCTGTAGTGATGTCCAGCATCATGGAAATTGCTGCTCTGATCACAATAGCTGGAGAGGTGTTTTTAAAATTAAGATGGATTGGTTGGCGCACAATCCTACGTCACAAGAGGACAATGATCAAGGTAGATTTTCCTAAAGTACTTTTTAAGAAGTATCTTAAAAGGGTTTATTTTGATTTCTATCGCTATTTCCTTTTTTCTTTTGGTTTATTTCAGTGTCTAACATTACTAGTGATGTTTTTTGAAGCTCTTGTGGTATTGATTAGAAGATCAAGTCACTTTCGAGTTACAAGAGCTTTCCGCCCGATTTTCCTGATTGATACTCGAAGCTTTGGTGAGCATAATGCATGAATTGTCCGCATGTCTGTGATTCATGATTTCCATGTTTCTATCCATGTTTCTGTTTTGTTTGTGGGGATGGCTCAATTTGTCTCTGGTTTTCATTTGTAAATGTTTTCTTCAGGAGCTGTGCGCAGATTCATTCGTCAAATTCTACAATCTATGCCTCCTATTTTGGATATGATGGGCCTGCTTTTCTTCTTTGTGTCTACTTTTGCCCTGCTAGGATATTTTCTTTTCTCTGGAGATCCCCACAACCCCCATTTTTCCACCTTAACAACTAGCTTTGTCAGCATGTTTGTCCTTCTCACTACTGCTAAGTATGCATCAACCTTTGTTTGTCAGTAACTTATTTTTCTGTAAAAAGAAGATATTGTCAAAATTCCCTTTTCCAGTTTTCCTGATGTAATGATGCCAGCATATGCTCGTTCAACATGGTATGCTCTCTTTTTTATATCATATCTGTGCATTGTTTTATACGTGCTTATGAATCTGGTAAGAATGAAATTTTTATATAATGATTATAGATAAGAAGTCATCGAAATTCTTCTGTTGTTGATGTATTTGTCGTTCCCTACTGTGCCAATTTTAGATGCTTGCCGTTGTCTATGAAACCTTTACACGTGTGGAACGTGACAAATTTCGTAAACTGCTCCTACACAAGAGACAAGCTTGTCGTTTATCATTCCGACTCCTAGTGTCTAAACAAAATCCCACCCACATCCGATTTCGTCAATTTGAAGGTTTGATGCACTACTATGCACCACAAAAGAGTGAGTTTGTTTTTGTGTTTGTATTTTTGGACAAGTAAAATTTCAGTTATTTAGTTCAACTACATTAAAATTTGGTTTCTTTCTACAGCCCCAATAGATGTAGTGTTGATGTTTCACTATCTGGACAGTAGTGGGACTGGAGAATTATCTCAGGAAGACTTTTTCCGTGTGTATGATGCTGTCATGCTGTCATGGGAACCTCAGTTCGCGCACATTCCATGGTTCCACACCGCTTGGCCTCCACTTCAAAGTGTTCTCCAGAAGATGCATGACTTGGTTCATTGGAAACACTTTGAAAAAGTTGTTTGTAAGATACTATTAAAGATATTATTTTTTGTTTTAGACAATTTTGTGTGGCTGTCAAATGGTCTCTAAAAACGGTTTGCATTTATTCCAAACTAGATTGTCTCATAATTTGTAATGGCATTGCCATGGCTATTCGAATTGGCCAGGACTACAACAATCTTCAAGAAGCAGCTAGAGCATTTGCTGCGTCATGGGACACAATTTTCTTTTTAGCCTGTGAGTTCATGAAATTCAGCTATTGAAAGGCCTTTAATTTTTTTGTCTCAAATTTGTTTTTATCTTGTTGTTTCTGCTTTCTCTGTTTCTTTTTCGGTGAAGTGTTTGTTGTTGAAGCTCTTCTGAAAGTGCTTGGCATGGGCCTATCACGATACTTTTCATCAGGGTGGAATGTGTATGATTTCACTGTTACTTTGGCTGCCCTCCTTGGAGTTCTACTAAATTATTTGTTTCCTACACTGACTTTCATCGTAGTACTACGTCCATTGAGGTGACTTTTCGCATTTAAACTGGCAAGGGTCATTATTTTGGGATTTTAATTTTGTTTCTGTTCTAATACATTCCTTTTTGTTACAAAATAGGTTGTTACGCTTATTCAAGATGAAAAAGCGCTACCGAGATGTGTTTGGCACAGTGGTGCTTTTGTCTCCCTTAATGTCATCAGCTGTAATGGTTATACTGGTATTGTATTATTTCTTTGCAATAATTGGAATGGAGCTGTTTGCTGGTTATGAACTGAGAAACTGTTGCAAGTACGTATTCATGAGACTGGGACATTCCTATAAAATGTTCTCAATCTTGATAGGAATATTCACAAGGTTTGCTTTTTGTTTGTGTCTAATAGCGGCACAGCTGTAGAAGACTTTTATAGATGGAGTGTGAACACAACTACTCCAGGAGGATACTATTACCTGAACAACTTTGAAAATATGGCAACAAGCTTTGTCACATTATTTGAGTTGATGGTAAGTGGGCTACCATAATTATATTTTATTTAGCTTTGGCCTATGTCTTCATTTAAATTTCTTCATTTTAAATTCTTCTTTATTATTTTGACAGGTTGTTAACAACTGGTTCATTGTCATGAATGCCTATGCAGTTGTTGTTCATCCGTCTAGTAGGGGATATTTCATGCTCTTTTATTTGATGACCTCAGTTGTTTTAACTATTGTAGTTGCATCTGTGTTAGAGGCCTTTAGATTCCGTATTCAGTACAAGCGGCAGACTACCAAACGAGAAGGTGAGTTTAGTTGATCAATTAACACCTCATATCTTAAGGGTAAGAAGAGAAATGTTTCTAAATATACCAAAAATTCACTTTGCAGAGGAGAAAATGCTTCATGAAGAGTTGCATTTGAAGTGGGAGGAACTTTCAGTTCTCCTACGTGATCAACAATTACTGGATTCTCTGAGACCTCAACTTGTAGTTGGGGTATGTATGAATAATTAGACACAAAATATTATCTGTTTTGCAATTGATAAAGAAGAGAGACTCTCTATGTACACATCTTCATTCATTACTTTTTTTTAAAGGGAATCTCAACATTTATTGGATGCCGTCCTCGTAATAGGGAAGTTCTCATGAACCGGATGTATCGAACTGAAATTGAAGAATGGATGAATGAAGCTGCAGCTGCAGAGAAAAATGTTCAAAATGGAAATCAATTTTCTCAAGATGTTGATGCAGAGCATGTGATTATTACAGAATCTGATAGTGTTGTTCTAGGGGTAGACAGGGAGGACACAATTTTAAGACGTTTATCACATAGATAGGTGGAACAATGTCGAGAAGCTTTTACTTTTAATTGTTCAAAAATACTAATATGGTTTTAAGAATTTAATTTGTGATTATTGAGCCAATTCTTAACACTAGTCAAATGTTTTCCTGGGCCTTTTTCTGTATGTAGTATAATATGACAGTATTGCAATTTTTGGAATGATTTTAAAATGCAGACAAAATCATTGACTATGCAACATTTCCATAAAATAAGACAAGCATGGAAGTTTTCCATTTTAATTTATATGCTTATTAATTTCATGTGCAAGCTTCACATCATAGAAGTAGCTAATGGGCGGATGGTTGCTTTTCTTTCACATCTGAACAGAAAGTATTATATTGATCCAAATGTGTTTTAGCATTATATGTAGTAAGACAGAATGAATTGTTATGTATTTAGAGCATTTGTATATTTAAGCTGCTCTTGGATGTTAAAATCTTTTTCTGCCTAGTCATGGTGCTAATAATTGTTTTAAAACGTGTGGGTAAAATGTAGTTATTTTCCCCTTTCTTTTAATTTATTTAAAAAAAGTGTGTGTGAGTATGTTTGTGTGTGTGTAGACCAATAGCTGGCTTTTCCAGAAACCTATAGATTATGGAGTGCCCTTGTGATATCTATTTGTTATATAGTTCAAACTGTATCTTTTACTTTGTCAATTTTTTTTATGTTCCTATGAATGCAGTATTTTAGTTCTATGACACCAGAATGGGGTTTATGTAGCAACCCAGGAGTTTTTGTGAATCTAAATTAATAACCCAAATCAAAATTTTGTTCAACTTTTTTTTTATGGAGTCAAAGATCTCATATCGTTTTGAATGAAAGGGAGCAAACAGGAACGATAGTTTACAGATTGTGCAAAGGACAACACTCAACCCAAAGCTGTTAGTGTCTTAAATGTTAATGCTTTTTTTCCACCACTAATATTGGTAGATAACTAGAAAATACAATGAAGACTGTTGTTGTGTACAATAACCTGTGCATTTCATAAGGAAGTCCAGTAGTGAAGGTTTTTGGAGGTCAGAGCTATTATTTCGTATGTACCTGGTTCATCCTCAGTCTTGTTTGTAAATTCACTACAATATTAATTATGATCAGTGACGCTGTTATGGACCATAGACCTCCACTTATATGTTTAGTTCTAGCAGTCTCTGTGATTTTGATTTTATGTCCAATCGATGCAGCTTTTATTAATGTGTAGAATGTAACATTTTCCTATATTGTGAAATAAATGCATGAAAAAAAAACACAATTGTTAAAGGCAATCTGCAATATCCTATAGACATTTGCCCCGGTGCCCGCTCCTCCGCGCAGCCTCAAGGTTTCTCCTCGAGAGCGTTCGTCGTGGGAATTCAAGAGCCACTCACATCACTTGATTTTCCTCTCGGCGCGCGAATGCAGTGGCGGGTCCCCAGTCAGTGGCGATACTTTGCTTTAATAGTTCTCAGGGATCACCAAAATTCGTTCCAATATCTTGGCACCTCCTGGCACTTCCCTCGCCAATGGCACGCACATGGGTCATTTTACGTGCGCCCAGGTGAGGGAGATGCTCACAGCCGAGGATGGCAACGTGATGGACGAGTTTGAAACGACAGTGTAGTGAGCAGGTTGGGGGGCGTTACGTCACGAGAGCAAGCGAGCAAGGTTCGCGCCGGGAGCTGACCTGGGGTGTCACTCATAGGAGCTGGCGCTGGCCGGCCCACCAACCGTCTGATTCCGAACACTGCTTTGTCGCTCTGTCTCTCTCGCACCCCTGCGGACCGCCCCATGAGTGCGAGAGAGACAGAGCGACGAAAGCAGTGCTCGGAATCAGACGGCTGGCCCACACAGGGAACAGAGAGAGACAGACTGAGAGGGAGATGGCACGGCGCGGCGGGCATGGCTGCGGGGGAGGGCCTCATTTCCACGACGGCCCTCGCCTGCCGCCTCGCTGCCCGGCCCTCGGTATTTGCATGGCGGCGCCGCGCAGCGCATCCTCGCCTCGCGCGGCCGGGCCGAGGCACGGCGGCACGGCGCAGCGTATTTAAATGCGAGATGAATGAATCAATTCCGCCGTTGTGACGCAACGCAGCGACGCAGAGACGGGCCGACAGGCTGGTTGCGAACAGTGCTTCGTCGTGCTGTCTCTCTCGCACCCCTACGGGCCACGCACCCATGACAGCGAGACAGACAGGGACAGACTGAGTCGGTCTGCACTGCAGCTGACCCGCGCTCCGCGCTGTGGGAGTGCGGCACACTGCGCGCGGCCGAACGGCCGTTGGCACGTGGAGACGGCATAGACTCCGCGTGGCCTCGCGGCTTCGCCCAGTAAACTTTTAGAGAGACCCCTTGCCAGCCAACCAGGCTGTAGGTGTCCACCGGGCAAGCATGCCACTTGCACGCTTAGGCGCCTGCCAGGTAGGCAGTCCACACGCTGGCGTGCGCTCGGTGGCCTACCTTGCCCGGCGATCCGGCACGCCGGCAGGCCCCCCGCGACGGTGAAATCGTGGTCCAGCCGAATTTATATGATATGTTTGTGTTCTGTTTTGATCTTATGGCTCGCCCAACAACAATTTGTGGCGCTCCCCTAGTCCCTGGTTCTGACAATAATGGTCTTCCAGTGACGGGTACAGTAGGTTACCAAAGTTACCCCCACAGCCACGGCCACGGCACAGCGGCGCGCCCCAGGGTGGCAGCCAACACAGGGTTCGAGGTTCGAGCAGCAATCACACGAGCTCGGGACGCGAGACACGAAATGGGCTGGAGAACAGTAGAGAACAGGAGCCAGCCGCCTGCTGCCGAACAGTTCTTGCGTCGCTCTGTCTCCCTCGCACCCATACGGGACGCCCCGTGAGTGCGAGAGAGACGGGAGCCGCGTTCGGAATGGAGGTGCTGGACTGCTGGACCCCCGCGTCGCCGGAGCGGCTCCCTGTCGGTGCGAGGCGTGCGAGGCGGGTGGCTCGCCTGTTTGTCATGACCCACTTGTCCCACACGGGCGGCGCGGCGGCGCGGCGCTAGACGGATGGGCGAAGCGGGCAGGGCGGAAGGAAGAGGTCGCCGACACCGCCAACACCGCGAACCACGAAAAGCAATAAAGGCCCATATGCCATTCTCCGCCTCCAAGACGCGTGGACCGGGACACGCAGCCCGATCCCGAACGGTGGCTTCGTCGCTCTGTCTCTCTCGCACCCCTACGGAACGGCTGACGAGTGCGAGAGAGACAGAGCGACGCGAAGCGCCGCAGTTCGGAATCAGCCCGCAGGCAGACGAGACTCCGCGCGCACTTTGTCGAAACGAGAAAGAAAGCAAGAAAGCAAGACAAACGGCACAGAAACAGACCGGCCGCCCATTTTTAGCGGCCTCAATTTGATGGGAACGGCGGAACGGCCGGGGCGGCGATCACGCGGGAAGGACGTATTGTTCTGTGGACCTTGTGCGTGCGGTGGCCGCGGCGTGGCGTGGCGTAGTGTGCGTGCGGAAGCCCCCGCGCCGCCGGCACGGCCGGCACCCTCGGCACCCTCGCGTCTAGAGTTTTGGCCGCCTCCATCGGTCTTCTGGCCCACTGTGGCCCGCCCCCGCACTGCCTCTTCGATTATTGATCGGGCCCGGTACCCCCGGTACCCAATACCCAGCAACCAGTACGACCAGTGCCCCCAGTCCGCAGTCGGCACGGTCGGCACGGTCCGCACGTCGCGCGGCGTGTGTGCGAAACTGTATACACACCTCCAGTCCACCTTCCCTCTCACGCTTGTCAGATCTCATTTAGATCTCATTCGGGGGCGTACCGCACACTGTACACTCACTCCGCCGGCAGGGCACCGCGGCCACCGCCGCCCAAGCCGCCACCGGGGGCCGGTCCATACCGAAACACCGAAACAGCGCCGCGATGCACCGATAAGGCGCCTCGGCGTGTGTGTGTGTGTGTGTGCCTCGTAAAGTAGTGTGTTATTGGCCGCCGAATGAATTATGTTGTCTCATAATTGCGAAACCATCGTCTGGCCGCGCACCGAAGGCACCGAGCGAGCGGCGGCTGCCTTATCAGCGCGAACCGGGCGAACGGAGCGCCGAAAACGCACCTGCCCTTCGCGTCGGCCCTTCGCACCTGACCTCGCCTGCAGATTGGTTCCGAGAGTCGTTTTCGTCGCTCTGTCTCTCGCGCACTCGCGGGGCGCTAAGTGCGAGGGAGACGGAGCGACGACCTGCCTCGCCCCGGTGGCGCAGCCCGGCGCAGCCAGACAGTTGTTTTAGAAGGGGGTCACGGCGTCACCCCTGCCCCCTCTGCCTACCTACCGAGGTTCCCAAGAGTTGCCTACTTGTGACTGGCATCCAAGCAGGCAGCCCCCCACAGCCTGGCCCAGCGTAGCGATGGATGGAACGAAAGTGTGTTGACGGATAAGGCCGCGCGGACCTCGCGAGAGTCAAAAAGTAAAGCCGCGTTGCGTCATCGCGAGCAGACTGCCATCCGTGCAGTCCGTGGACTGGGAGGTGAAAGGACGACGCGAGGAGCGCGAGGAAGGGAAGGACTTCCCCTGTCGGGCCTCGGCGAGGCGCTTCCCGGCCGCCAGCAAAGCGCGCCAAGCACCGCCAAGCACCGCCACAGGCGTTCCCGCAAAACGCAAAGTGCGTGTAAAATCAAAGCAACAGAACGCATTGCCACTTTTTTGTTGTTTTTTAGTATTTTTTTGGGACAAAATACCTTTTGTTGGGGGCTTTTATGGACGCGGCGGCGCAGGCCGCCTTGATTCCGGGTGTGTGATTAAAATCCAAGTGGCGCATGAACAGGCTGACGCAGCACGCACACACACAATGGCATGAGTTGCATCGGCGCAGTGCGTTGCCGTTTCGCAGCAGCTTGTAAAGCAGAGGCATCTTTTATTATCCCTGCCGAAATGACGACTGAGCGCCTTGTAATTTTTTTCACACTGCGTGGTGTTGGTGTGGCGTGGCGTGGCTGGGACACATGCCGGACCGCCTCCAGTGCAGTGCCTTGCAGGCCTTGGTGCTCCCGTTGGGCCGTTGGGCCAAATCAAAGGTGTAGGGGGCCTTGGAAGGCGGGCAAAAAAATAAATAAAAAATAACGAGGAGACCTGTGTTTTCGGCGACTTGATTTATTGATTTAACATTAGTTACACGCTCCATACTCGTCAACAACACTACATTAACATGGCAATTGACCTTTTCTTTTGTTGGTGTTTGGTCTGGCTTGACATGACCACGTCCACATTTCCACCAAGGACGATGCTCGCTCGGGACACAGTTGAAAAAATCCACAAATAGTGCATGAGGCCCGAAAAAAAGGGCAAGGGTTATTTCAACTGTGGCCTTAGAAAGAAATGTCAGAGTGGGAAGAAATGGAAGCAACGAAAATGTGACAATATTGTCCCTCAAACGTTTTGGTTGCAGAAACCACCAAGCTGAGGCTGTCTTAATGACGCCAAATGTTCCAGCTCAAAATTGATATTACTCGATGATTGGGCGTAATATCATCAGAGCTGTTCGTTCGTTTACTTAAGTATAAATTAATTTTGAATTGTTTATTACAGTGTACCTACCTACGAAATATTCTAGTCTGGAATGTTTGTCGAGAGCATTGAACTATATTACTCCTACAGGTAGCAAAGAGTCACTCCTCCCATTCCCGCCTTCGGCAGCAGGGCCGGTGGAAATCAAGGCAAAAAATATTTCGAGCGGAGAAACCTAAATTCGGCGCGATCTATTCAGTTCTTGATCTCCGATTCTCAGGTTTAGTCCACTATAGGGAACTATGGGGGACTTGATTTCTTTGAGTGGGGGACGGCAACTCTTGAGCAAATATCCGTTCGCTAGAACTGGACAGTTTTGAGCAATATGCTGTACCTATTAAAACCGACTAAAACGATAAATACGAAAACGTTTCTCCAAAGGACCCATGACATTAAGGGGTTCTGAACTATCCAATGGCTTACACAAAGTCACGATCCACAGCATTGTACAGAGCGTACTAAGAGCGAAGTAGACGAGAAACAGAGCAAGATAGCTACAGGCCACAAGAATAAAACAAAAATTTCCACTTGTAGAAAGTTACAGATCATGAAAGCGTAAAGGACAGAAACAAAGAAGAGCAAACATATTAACATTTATCTAACAAGCTTAACGTCCTAAACTTAACACCAAACCTGTACACGACTGGTGTGCCGTATTGCACAAAATACTCTACATATTCATTACTATATACACTGTTGTAGGTAGCAATTGGTACTAAAGTAGGCGGTGCGAGAGAGTCGCCCTCCCAGCACCTGGTTGGCACTCGCTCCATTCGCGCCTCTCGCGCCTCATCAGTCCACGACCTGCACGGTGGCGTAGGCGCTGAAGGTGACTTTCTTGGGCTCGGCGCCGCCGGGGCCTGGGCCCCCGGCCACGTGGTTCTTCTTGATGACAGACTTGAGGTTGTTGGCGCCGGGCGCGCTGGGCTTGGGCGGGTCCAGGCTGGTGTAGAACCGGGTGGGCGAGTCGCCCCAGCTGTTCCTGCGGCCCGAGCCGGGGTAGCCGCCGACCAGGGAGCCGCCGACCACGGAGCCCCCGATCTCCCGCAGCTTCTGCGACAGCCCGAAGAAGCGGTTCGACAGCGAGTTGGTGGTGGCGCCGGGCGCGGCGGGGTGCGGCCGCGGCGCGGGGGTGTGCGCGTCGATGTACCGGTAGGCCATGGGCCGCCGCGGCGCGGGCGGGCTGCGCGGCCTCGGCTGCCCTCTGCCCGAGTCGCTGCTGCGGCTTCGCCGCTGGTACCTTCGGTGGTCCGCGTCGGGGAACACGCCCCAGTGGTGCGGCCCGTGCGACACGGACGACGGCGTGGCGGAGCGCGCGGGCGGCGGCCCCGTCCAGCCGGCGGGGAAGTGGCTGACGTGGGGGTGCTGGTGCGACTGGTGCGACGGCCAGCCCTGCTGCTTGGCCTGCTGGTCCACGGACACGCGGATGAACTGGCCGCGCACCACGCGCTGCTCGGCGCCCAGCGCGCCCAGCGGCCCCGCGGACAGTGGCCTGCTCACCCTGTTGAGGGTGTTGTTGAGCACCACGGCCTCCACGGTCTTCTTCTTCATGGCGTTGGCGTCGCCCGGCTGTGAGGGCGCGGGCGGCGCGGGGGCCTTGTTCTTCCGCACGAAGCGCTTCCGCTCCGGGCGCTGCGGCGGCGGCAGGGACGAGGGCCCGCTCAGCCCCGAGCCCAGCCCGGCAGTGGCCGCGTCGTCGTCGGCCGTCAGCGCCGTGGTCCACAGCTTGGGCTCGTCGGGGTGCTGCCGCTGCCGGTGGCCGGCGTCGCGCCGCAGCGTCGCGTTGTTCTCGACGTCGGCGCGGATCACCCCCTCGATCTCCTTGTTGATGCGGCTGCGGTCCGCGGAGGACAGGATGTTGCCCGCGTCCGGCGTGCTGATGCTGATGATGCTGGACGGGCCGCACAGGTGGTCGTCGTCGGCCACGTCGGACGCCGCGGAGCCGCCGGCGGACGCGTCGTCGACGCTGACCAGAGACGCGCCGCTGCCGCGCGACACCTCGATGTGGGTGACGCCGTCGCCGTCGGTGCGTTGCACCAGGTTGAAGCGACTCGCCTCGCCTGGCACGGCCGCCGCCTCGTCCACCTTGGAGAAGATGAACTTGGGCAGGACGGCCCCGCTGACCACGGTGGCGGCGGTGGCGGCGTCCTTCGGGGCGTCGTCTTTCCGGCGGTGCGGCGCGCGGAAGGCGCCGTCCATTCGCACGCGCCGACTCAGTTCCTGGTACGCGGAGCACAGCGCGCGCACGCCCTCCTCGCCGCGGCACTCCAGCACGAGCGCCTCCAGCCCCGACGGCCCGCCCGTCGCCCTGAGCCGCCTGGGCGCCGCGGCCCGCCGCACCACCAGCACCACAACCCGAGGGAAGGCGGCGTCCACGTGGCAGAACGCCACGTCCTGGAACGAGAAGTTCTCCCGGAACGGCCCGCTGGCCACGGCCGAGGAGGCCGAGGAGGCCGTGTCCACGGACACGGCGTCGTGGGACGCCTTGGCGTCGACCTCGTCCGTGTCCGAGCCACCGCTGCTGTTGGCGCTGTCGCTGCTCGTCGAGGACGTGGCGGGCGCCGTGACGCCCACCAAGGCCGACAGCGCGCTCCCCTGGCCCGCCTTGAAGACGTGGTCGTCGACGAGGCAGCATGACGACGACACGCTGGTGGAGTCATCCGAACGCGTGGACCGGCGGTCCTCGTCGGACTCGAAGCCCTCGTCGTCGGCGCGCAGGGCCAGCCCCGAGCCCAGCGGCCGGAGGGCAGGCCGCCGCGCCACCAGCTCCACGCCGCTCTCGGAGCACCGCAGCAGGTAGCGCCGGCCTGCAACAGTCACATTGCGTTATCATTCAGATTATCCTGGAGATTATTTGGCGACAGTTGCTACAAAGTAAGAGAAGCGGTTGACCTACCCTGGCGGTTCGGGCGCGCCTTGGTGCCGGCCAGGCCCCGCACGAGGCAGGCCAGCGAGGACGCGTGCACGGCGCCCTCCACCACCTCCCTGCCGAGCAGCATGGCGTCGCACTGCGCCCCGCACTGCGCCCCGGCGCCCAGCCCGGACGACGCCCCCGGCGCCGCCCCCACGCCCGTCCCTGGGCGCATCATGGCGGGGAGACCGTCCGGGTCACCCCTGCGACGATGTAGGCCCCCGCGTCGAGGGGGAGGTCCACCGCACCGTCATCTGCAACAGGGGAACAGTTCGTTGAGCTCCAGGAAACAACATCAACAACAACAAGCTCAGTGACACTCTAGACTCGCGGAGCGCGCTGACTCCGGCGGACAGAGTCCAAGGTGCTTCCGTCCTTTGCAGGTGGCTTTGCTACTGGGCGACAAAAAACAAGGCCGACAAAAACCGAGGGAAACATTTGGCGAGCGCGAACCTCGGCCACAGAGATATCCTCCAGTGATATGCAAACTTGTCGTGGGTTGGCCGAGGAGCGCTGCACCTCGGAGTGATCATCGCCCAGGATAACGCGTCCGTCACAACGTCGCGGCCGGGACGGCCAAGACGGCCAGGACGGATCTGGTTTCGGAGCCGGCAGGGCAGTGCTGGTGCCCCGCACGGTGTAGAGTGACAGCCCTCGGGAATCTATTCCCCGCCTTTATTTATTTCGTTGTTTGCATCACAGGTGGTGGTTACGAGACGGCGACGACGACGACGCGACGCGGCGGTAACAATTGTTGATGTTTCCCGATGCGCCCGCGCCTGCGCCGGCTGCGCCCGGTAAATTTATTGGAACCCCGCCGCGATGCCTGGTGCCGCCTTGGTTGGAGCCAGCGGGGCCGGCGACAACGTGCATGTGTCGCGGCTCGCGGGGCAGCGGACCGGCGGCCGGACCGGCGGCGACCAGGGACCAGCGGGTACACATTACTCGGACCGGCTGGCTTGCTCGCTGGCTTGCTCGCTGGCTGTCGTCGCGCACTGGACCGTTGCTTCCAGCTTCATTTCGAAACTAGCCTCGGGCAGTTCAAATCCCGCTCCGTAATACGTCCCGCCGTCGCCGTCCCTCGCGAGCAGCGCGAGCAGCGCGCTGACGAGGCCTGGCCGGCCTGGCCCCGGTAGGCCCCGGGGGTTGTGTCCAGGCCGTCCAGGCCGTTCAGGCAGGCCGGGACTGCAGCCAGGTGTGCCGTACGCCGTACGCGAATCGCCGCCGCGGGTCGCGTTGTCTCTCTCGCTCTCGCAGGGCGTCCCGCAGGCCTAGAGAGACAGCGACGAAAGTGCTGTTGGAAGTCAGTCGGCACAGCAAGAGCAGGGTGGCCTGTGGCAGCCTGTGGCGCCCGGTGTGTAGGCAAGCCTGGCCGCAACGCTGCAACCCGGTCAGCGGGGCCGCCGAGTCCAGCCAAGTCCCACCGGCTTCTCAAGTGGGTTACCGTATGCAACAGCCGTACCAACATTAAGGACACTAAAGTGACGCGCACCGAATCCCTCTTGGTGCACTTATCGCTAGCTCGTCTGGCGACCAGACAGGCGCAAGAATGTGAGTGTCCAGCCGCAACGCACGCCTCGAGCCGTCAAAACAATGGACTATCGGCCGACATCGGACACGTGGAGAACGGGTCGGCCTGGCTGTCACTTTGCTGTCACGTCTTCGTCACGTCTTCGTCACGTCGTCGTCACCTCGCCGTCACGTCGGCCGGCCAGCGGGCGGACCGCCGCTATGCTCCATGAATCTCATTACTGACTATGATGGCTGCATCCACCGGCCGGGTCGGCCGGCCAGGCAGCCAGCCAGGCCACGCGTAGCGCGTAGCGTCAGCTTTCGGCGTTGCGTAGCGCACAGCGCGTGCTGCAGGCTGCTTCCGAACAGCGCCTCGTCGCTCCGTCTCTCTCGCACTCCAACGGAACGCCCCATGAGTGCGAGAGGGACAGAGCGGGCCGGCCGCCGTGACGCGTGACGTCCCGACCGGGCAAGCGTCGCGCCGCAGTCACGCGTCACCTCGTCACGTCGTCACGTCACGCGCGCCGCCCCGCGGACCGGGCCGGCTACCGGGTATCGCACTCCTTCGCGCGGCCGGGCGGCCGGGCGGCCCGGGTCAAAAGTAAGCAAAGCGCTGCTTCCAAAGGCGGCCGCGCGGGGCGCTAGCGACGACGAGCGAGCGCGTAAAACGCGTAAAAAGCAACGGCCGGATGGCGCTATAACGCCCGGCTTGGATTACCCGCGTTGCATCAGCCTGCAGCAGCCTGAAGCGTCGCGTCGCCGGAAAAACAAAAACGGTCCAATTTCAGGTGCGATAGGCATCGCGCATTGTCACGTGTTGTGAAGCGAGGCCCTCGGGCCGCTGCGGGGAAATTGCCGCGGCTCAAGGACTCACTGTCACATGATTCCGTTGCCATCCAATGCGTTCCCAGGCACCAGAGGCCCCGAGAGACGCACCACTCTGCAGGTGAGTGTGTGTGTGTGTTAGGTTGGCAGGGCCACCAACTGAAAAGGCGTGTCGCACTTTGAAGCGGAAGTGCAAAGCTACTACTTGGTGCGGTGCGCGGCGGCAACTGCATCTCGGTTTGAGGCGAACCGAGACCGCGCCCTACACGCGGCGTCCATGTTTGTACCCCAGTTAGGGGCCTGGGCGAGGCTCTAGGCGAGGCCGGGCTCCTTCCATTCCGCCGCTGCCCTCTCATGCACATGCTCACGCACACAGGCACACCCGACCCACACATACACGACACACTAGGCGGGGCAAAGACCGCGCGCGGTGCTGCGCGGTGCCAGGCCGCTCGCCCGGTGACGATTCTCACGGAAAGACCGCGCAACTGCGTAAAAAAGGGCGTCCAGTTAGGCGCCGCGAGGCCGTGGCGAGGCCCCGTGGCGCTGTGCCGGGGGGAGGAGGGCTAAGGTGACTCCGGCGTGCGGAGCGGAGCGGCGCGGCACCACTTCCACGAAGGCCCTTAGTTAGATGCAGTTCCGCTGCGCCTCATAGAAGACGCCGCGCACTTTGCACGCCGCCATGCCACCAAATCAATTAAGTTTTTGTTTTCCCGCCATGGTTCTTGTTTTTGTTTATTGACGCCAGGCTGTCCTCTCCGAGAGCACGCACCCACACACACACACGCGAGCACACGGCGACGGGCGCGCAGTCGTGTTTCACTTTCGTTTTCGCAGCGGTCCGAGTCGGTCCGAGTCGGTCCCAGTCGCGCGAGGTGGCCACCGCCCTCCAGTTGGCAGGTTCGGTGACGCCACCTAGGGAGATTCGACGGCAAGGCGGTGCCCGGCGTTGCCCGGTCCTGAGTGGCACTGGCACACAGATCTAGATTCTGGCGGCCGAGACGGAGCAGCCGCCGGCCCGGGCGCATTAATGTACATTTCTCTTTCGATCTCTCGCAGCTTTTATGATTGGACAGAGCGGGGCGAGGTGGGGCCTTCTCCTTCGTTACGTTGGATCAACATTGGGTCGTTTACGAGGCACGCCTATCGAGCCATCGAGGCACGCCTATCGACCGAGTTGGCGGACGGCGCTCTCATCCCGCGTGTTGGCGATTTCATCCACAGTCGAATCTTCCAAACTAGCTCCGCGGCGGTGGTGCCCTCTGGCGGCCGGGTTGGAAAGCCTGCAGCTCATTTGCAAGGCGGCACAATGTCTTCACTACACTCTCGCCGGGCGGCCGGACGGCGCAGTGTAAAAGCGAAGTGCGGCGACCGGGTTTCGATCTTTACGACCCCCTCGACCGCCACCGCAAATGACCAATGACCGTTTCGACATTATTAGTGGCGGGAAACGGGCAGGAAATCGGGGCTGGGCGGCGAGGCGGGCCGGGCCGAGTGTCGGTGCGCCAGGTGCAGGCATAGCCCGGCATACGCCTTGACTCGTTCAATTTGATTGACAGGCGTTCAGGTCGTGACGCAAGACGCGGTAAGGACCTCTTAAGGAAGCTTTGCTAGCGAGGCTCTGTGGACGACGACGAATGCACCCTGTTGCGCTATCGCCCCCGCCCTGCCCTGCCCTGCTCGCGGTGGGCGACGCTGGAGTCGACCTCGGTGTTTGAATCTCCATCATCAGAACGCCGCGACGGACTTGACAAAAAAAGTCTACTGCTCTGCCTCACCGCGGGGTAACAAAGCTAGAAACTATAATGTCAACGTCAAGTTATCCTGACGCCCCCTGTTAAGAAGCAGGCTCGGACTGGCCCCCAAAAGGCCCCAGCGGATAAGACCGCAAAAGGCCCCCGATCATCATTATGTTTTTACCCTTAATGACCAACTTTGTGAGGCTACTGCTCCTAAACTAGTTGCGGTCAATAGCCTTCCCGATACAGGGCATAAAATAGTAGGGTCTTAAGAATACTAGGGCGTCGAGGGAAGCCTTTTACGGCAACTACATTGAACACAGTGGCCGCCCAAAATCAGCAAAATCAGCAAATTTCCGAGATTCGACCACTTTTTGACCAACTTGGTCGAAAAATCGTTGCGGTCAAAGCCAAAATCGTTGTGGTCAATGTCTTCCCGATATAGGGCATGAAAGAGTAGGGTCTTAAGAATACTAGGACGTCGAGGGAGGCCTTTTACGGCGACTAGATTGGACACAGTAGCCACCCAAAGTCAGCAAAATCAGCAAAACTTAGTCGGAAAATCGTTGCGGTCAAAGCCAAAATCGTTGCGGTCAACGTCTTTCCGATACAGGGCATGAAAGAGTAGGGTCTTAAGAATACTAGGACGTCGAGGGAGGCCTTTTACAGCGACTAGATTGGACACAGTGTCCACCCAAAGTCAGCAAAATCAGCAAATTTCCGAGATTCGACCACTTTTTGACCAACTTGGTCGGAAAATCGTTGCGGTCAAAGCCAAAATCGTTGCGGTCAACGTCTTCCCGATACAGAGCATGAAAGAGTAGGGTCTTAAGAATACTAGGACGTCGAGGTAGGCCGTTGACCGCAACTAGATCGGACGCAGTGGCCGCCCAAAATCAGTTAAAACGGCTACTTTCGGAGATTCAGTCACTCTTTGACCAACTTCGTGACGTTACTGGTCCCAAACCCGAAGGCCCCGGCAGATTTTTCTGCCTGTCTGCCCTGGCCAGCCCGAGCCTGTTAAGAAGCTACAGACACACGCTGGAAATTTTTGTAAAGTTGGCACTTCCTGAGCGACGGCGTGAGCTGGCGACACGATGCAACAAATGAAGCTTAATTATAACAGGTGACCGTTGTCCCCTCCCACAAAAACAAAAAAAGGGGGTATCGCCTGTGTA